GCCACGAGCCGCGTCGTCCTCATCCTCCTGTCCTGGCTGCGGCCCGCCGGGTCCGGGCGCCCCCTGCCCTGGCGCCCCGCGCTCCACGCCCGCCCCGGCCCCTGCCCCTGCCCCTGCCCCTGCCCCTGCCCCCGCCCCCACCGACGGCGCGGAGCACAGTGCGCACCTGTGGGCTCGTTACCAGGACATGCGGAGACTGGTGCACGGTGGGTGAGCCTGGGTGGGCCGAGCGCAGGGGAGGCGTCTCCCGTGCGGCGGCGGACTGTTCGGGGTGCCACCCCCGAGCCATCTCGGGCGCCGCTTCGTAGGAAGCGCCTGGTGGGGCTGGCCAGAGCCTCAGAACCTGAGGCCCGGGACGCTTTTTGGAAGAGGTTCCAGCGAGTCGTCCCGGCTCCCGGGGAGGTTTGTGCCAGGTCTCGATCAGCAGGAGCTTGGAGTACCTGGAGTAGCCTCAGGCGAGTGCTGCCCTCCCAGGTCCTGCCTGCGGGGGGCAGCGGCGGAAACGCTCCCTACCCCTTGTTTTCTGCCGGCCCTTGTAGTGGGACTGCTGTGGACAAAGCCCGCGAGCAGTGCTCCAGGGACAGGCTCCTGGGATCCGCCTGATCTAAGAGGACACCAGAGGGGTTTTCGGGGACCTCTTGGTTTGGTCCTGGAGGTCCGGCGCACTTAGCAAGGGCTGGGAAGGCATTGGAGAAACAGACCGAGTCACCTGCTCCCCTGGAATCCTGAAGGGTTGGCTAGGGTTGCACAGGGAACCTGTCCTCCCCTACCTTCTTAATCCTTGTGCAAAATGAGCTCATATGGCCCAAGCTCCCTCCCAGAAGGCAGGCTGGGGCCAGAGGGGACACCTGAGAACCGAGAGTGCCGGAGGTCTGTCCATTTCTCTGGGTGGGACTAGTGGGGCCCTGCCTCTGCAGCAGAGAGGTGTGGTCTGGACCATGTCCCTATCACAGCCCCGCTGGATGTCCTTCAGGGCAAGCTTCACCCGCTAGGACCCTCAGGCATAAAACAATCTTGGGGCCCCTGTCACAGGACTGTGGTGATAACTCAGAAAGAGCCAGCTAAGAAGGGGTAGGAGAGCTCCTGGAGGAACCCAGAGGGGTGATCTGGTTTTCATTGTCTGGTAAGACAAAGTGGCCTGTCTAGAAGATTCCTGGACAAGGGGCTTCCACTCTAGTGTGGAGGCCTGGAGGATGGCCCGGACTCACCACCTGACAAGCTGAAGACAGAATAGTTAGGGCCTCTGAAGCCCTGGGGGTCCCGGGTTGAACTTGTCTCATGGAGGGGCAGGCTGGGGTGTTATTTAAGACCTCTTTGTTCTACTGTTCTACACCTGGAGAAGGCCCTCTGAGGAGCCTTGAGGGTGTGGGGGCTGGAAAGAGAAAGGCACATCTACTGGGCATTGTCCTCCAGGAACCTTCTGTGTTCCTAAATTCCTCTTGTACAAAGTCCTTGCCACCAACATGCCATACTGAGCACGACAGCGAGCTAACTTCTTGCCTCTAGGCATGGCCCTGCCCATCTGGCTAGGTTTTGTGAGGGAGTTTCTGGGCATTGAGGTAGGCCTCAGTGACCTCAAGTCAGCCCCTCACCCTAAGAGAGTGCAGCAAGGACCATCACCTCCCACCCACCTTGGCAGGCCAGACTGAGGAGAGTGTGATTAAGGCAGGTGCGGTGACCTGAATGTGTATCAGCTCAGTTGCCTACTGTGGGGTGGTTTGGAACAAATGACTTTATATCCCTGAATCTGTTTCTTCCCCTGGGCCAAGTGTGATTACCTCCCAGAATTGGTGAGGATTGAACAAGATGATCCCCTAGGTCTCCTGGCTGCAGGGAGAAGTTGGACCCGCAACCTGGAGGAGAAAAGGAAGAGGGTGGACAGTGCTGAGTCAGGGCACATCCTTTCCTGGCCCCATACCCCACCCCATGGAAGGAAGTGGGACCCTGCAGCAACCAGAGCTGTGGTCTTCTCAGTCCAGAGATGGAGCAACAAGGTCAGGCCCCGTGGGGGCCTATTTCCCCAGCCTGCTTTGCCCCTTGAAATACTGTCAAGAGCAGAGGTAATGCCTGGACTTAGCCATAATTCTGTACCAGAAAGGGACTGCACAGCCAAGTAGACGCCTCCCGCACTGAGGGGCTTCTGGACAGTGCACTGAGTCATAATCACAGTTGGTATTCAGCAATGCAGGGTCATGGGGAGTGTGAGAGCCAGCTAGGAGGGAGGCCTAGGGTTCTACTGACCCCAGGTGAGGTGCATCTTAGAAACAGCTCTCTAGAGAGCTGTCTGTGCACATCCAAGTGAAGTGTTCTGTCCACAGTCAGGGATCTGTGGAGCAGCTGCTCTGTCTGCTGGCCAGAGGCCACCAGAGGAACCAGCCACACCTGTTCCCACACCCACACCCTGCACTTGACTCCAAAGCAAGGCGAAGCCCTGTGTTCCAGTGGGGCCTTGGAGGCGGCAAATGCTCTGGGCATGAGAGCACTCCAGCTTTAGGGAGGTGTCTGCCTTTGAGCACAGCAGCTAACAGACATGCTGTGAGGGGCTTCTACCTCTTGATTGGGATGGGTGTAGCTGAGAGAAGGATTCCCTGGAGGCTTGGACCCAGGCAGTGTCCTGTCTGCCCCTCTCTCCCTGCAACCTCTGCTCGGGAGTGACACCAGAAAACCAGTGACAGGTTGCTCAGGGCTTGGGAGGTATATCACCCATTTAATCCCACATGTGTGCAAGTACAGAGCAGGAATGCCACACAAAATAGATTGGTACAGTTTTTATTTCCCCTATAGAGATGAGGAAATAGGCCCAAGGACTTAGGTAACATTCCTGATTTCATCACCCTAATAAGAGAGACCCCAATCTGGCCTGGCTGACCTCATGATCCATGTCCTTGCCTTCACATCACCTTTTCCCAGCCACCTCCTCCAACCCCAGAGCCTTCTTGGCACAGTGCCCTGCTCAGCTTCTTGCTATGGGTCTGAGGGCCAACTTCAGCTGCTTGGGAGCAACCAGAGCTTAGGGTGGCCGTGACCACACCAGGGAACAGCCTGAGTAATGTCCCAGAACCCAACATCACACGTCCTGCTTGTCATAATTAGCAATGTTCCTGGCTTTAGCCAGGGAATTTCATTATGTGAGCTGGCAGACAGCTAAAATCTGATTAGATGGGCCTTGTTCCCAAGGCTGTGGCAGGTGTTCAGAGTTGGCATCCTGAGCGTCACACGGACTTCCCACCCCACTAATATTCTTCAGCCCCTAGTCAGACCAAGGCAGAGCCAGCACCCTCTGAGGTGGAGTCCTCAGTCCCCATATGCTGTCCCTCACAGGTATCCTTAAGGGGCTGAGGTGAAGCCAGTGGACAGGTGAGAAGGGGCAAGGGACCAACAGAGGTGCTCTGGAACAGGTTTTGAGTAGGCATTTTGAGCTCAGAATGAGTTGGTGGAATGGCTCAAATGGTAGAGCGCCTGCCTAGCAAGCATGAGGCCCTGAGTTCAAGCCCCAGTACCACCAAAAAAAAAAAAAAAGTTACAGCTGAGGCCAGATTGAGGAGTTGACTCACTGCCTGGCTGAGGGTTGCCATCAGCCACCTATCTGATGGGCCATAGTGATAAGAGCCTGAGACAACACAGGTTCAGTGTACCTAGGGGGCTGCTACTGAAGGGATAACCCAGGCAAGGTATAATAGTATAACCATGAGGAGGAGCTCCAGCCATGGGCTTGGCTCAGTACCAGCTCTGCCTCACCCCAAGCCCATTGACTCTGGGCAAGTGCCCTCTCTTTGAGCCTGTTTTGTGCCTGTGCAGCATTGAGCTAAGATTTGCCTCTGCCATGACCATCAGCCCCATGGTGCTGCCTCCTTACATCCCCTTCCTCTAGACCTTCTGCCCCCTGAGATCTGCAGCCTTCTGAACCCAGCAGCCATCTACGCCAACAATGAGATCAGCCTGCGTGATGTCGAGGTCTACGGCTTCGACTATGACTACACGCTGGCCCAGTATGCAGATGCATTGCACCCTGAGATCTTCAATGCTGCCCGGGACATCCTGATCGAGCACTACAAGGTGAGTCTCACCAGGCTCTGGAGGCTGCGGGGCCCATCCTGGGCTGAGCCCAGGACTCCTGGCGCCCTGGTCTGAGGCCTGGCCTGCTTTTGCCCAACAGTACCCAGAAGGGATTCGGAAGTATGATTACAACCCCAGCTTTGCCATCCGTGGCCTCCACTATGACATTCAGAAGGTGAGCGACTGGATACATACCAGGGCTACTTCCTTAACCTCCCTCTCTCCTAAAAGAGGTCTCCTCATCTGTCCACCTGTTGGTCTCAAAGCGGTAGCTTCCTTTTGGTATGCGCCTGATCCCTTGGAGTCCAGAGGCATCTGTGGTATGGGGGATGGAATAGGCTGGCTCGGGGCCAATGATGGAAAGTACCTCCTCACCCCTGGGTTCCCCCAGAGCCTTCTGATGAAGATTGACGCCTTCCATTATGTGCAACTGGGAACAGCCTACAGGTCAGTGCTGTCTCTGCTCCATCCCACCCCTGCCCCCATCCTGCTACTGCCTGGGCTCAAACTGAGGGTGTCTGTGCCCCCTACTCAGGGGCCTCCAGCCTGTGCCAGATGAGGAGGTGATCGACCTATACGGGGGCACCCAGCACATCCCACTGTACCAGATGAGCGGCTTCTATGGCAAGGTACTCTCTGTGCCCACTGCTGCACAGAGCAGTCCTGATCAGTGATCTCATGATGGGTGCTGGCTCCCTGGGAAACAATGCCCACACTCTAGTGGCCAGCCCTGGCCCATAGGCCATGCCCTTTACCAGTGTCCTAAGGCATATCTGGAGCCCTTAATCTCCAGTGCTGGGAGTGGTGGGGCTAGAGGGATGACTGAAACATGGCCTCCTCCCCAGGGCCCTTCCATCAAGCAGTTCATGGACATCTTCTCACTGCCAGAGATGGCACTGCTGTCCTGTGTGGTGGATCACTTCCTGGGCCACGGTCTGGAGTTTGACCAAGCACACCTCTATAAGGACGTGACGGTGAGGATGCTGGGCCTGCCTCCTGGATGGCAGGAAGGTGAAGTCTAGCTACAACAGGGCAGGCCTTCCTGGGGCCCACTGAGCCTTCACTGTGTGCCTCTGCTTCTCCCAGGATGCCATCCGAGATGTGCATGTGAAGGGCCTCATGTACCAGTGGATTGAGCAAGACATGGGTAAGGGTGGACAGTAGCCCTATCACACATGGCCTGCCTGAGTAAGGGCCAGGACTGTCCTCACAGGCTCATCTTCCCCCTCAGAGAAGTACATCCTGAGAGGAGATGAAACATTTGCAGTCCTGAACCGCCTGGTAGCCCATGGAAAACAGCTGTTCCTCATTACCAACAGTCCTTTCAGCTTTGTGTGAGTTCAGCCCCCTGTGGGAGGAGGGGTGGATGGGGTGGGCAAAAGCATACCACCCTCAGACCACTGAAGCCAGTGCAACCTCTGCGCAGGGATAAGGGCATGCGGCACATGGTGGGTCCTGATTGGCGCCAGCTCTTCGATGTGGTCATTGTCCAGGCAGACAAGCCCAGCTTTTTCACTGATCGTCGCAAGTATGGTCCTCGAAGGGGCTGTGGACTTGGAAGGGGGTGGAGGCCCTACCTCAGTAAAGGGAATCGGGCACAAGGCCAGATTGGCCTTTGCTCACCACTCTTGCTTAGGATGAGGACACCCTCTTATTGGTGTGCACTTGAATGGCTGGGCCTCTTCAGGGGAGAAGAGGGAGGTACTCAGCCAATGGCCCTGTCACAGACTGGAATTTACCCTCACCCAGGCCTTTCCGAAAACTGGATGAGAAGGGCTCACTCCACTGGGACCGGATCACCCGTCTGGAAAAGGGCAAGATCTATCGTCAGGTGAGTGCTATCTGGGGAGAGGTAACACCTGGAAGGCACAGGGACTAACCATAGCCTCCAGGGAGGCAGCACAGCCTTACACTGAGGGACTGGAGCCAGCAGCCACCAGGACAGGGCTGCTAAGGAGCAACTCTGGGCAGTGTGGAGTCTCTGGGTCACGCTGCCTGGGTTTGAACTCTAGCTCTACTCAATAGCAGAGGAGGAGCCTGGCCTAGTAACCTCTAAGCCTTGTTTTCCTCCTTTGCGAAAGAAGTATAATGCTCTGCTTGAGTTGAGGTATAAAGCCCTTAGAATGTCCTGCAATTGCTAAGTACCAGTGAATGGCACTGTGACTAGTAGGGGCTGAACACTGCTGCAGGCAGAATCAGCCTGGTTGGGGACCCTCCAGGCCAATGGAGGAGACATCTCATGGACGCTGAGGATATGACCCCCTGCCTGTCTGGCTAGGAAGATAAGAGGGGCTAGGTTAGGGCATTGAGTGGCCATGAGAAGGAGGTGATTAAGGCACTTGGCCCTGGCTGGAATGTAGAAATCTTAACTGAGCTGGGCTTTGTAGTGGGGGGTGAGTGTTCCCAGAGGCCTTGGGCCTGGGGGGAAGCCAGCCATAGACCGGTGTTGGGTGCCCAGGCTTGGCCTACAGACAGTATTCCCACTCCTGCCCTGCTGCACCCAACTCTCCACATCCCATCAGGCACAGGCTCACCCCCTTGGCTCTGAGGGTGATGTTCTCCCTTCTCTCGGTATCTGGCTGTAGCCCACAGCAGGTACCTTTGTAGAAAGGTGACTTTCTTCCTTACAAGCTGTTCAGCTCTTCTTTATGTCTCACATTTTGAAGTTTTCCTGTACAGAATAAGATCCTGCTTGTTTGTGGGAGCCTTCCCCTAAGTTCCCTTTCTCTGCCCCTCTGGAGTCTCTCTTGATCCAGGAGAGCATCCTCAATGCCCTCTCTGTCATATTTCTTCATTGGCTCCCCACTCCTGAGTTCTTCCACAACCACCTTTCCCTACTGTTCCTACCTTTCTGAGGCTTTGCCAGGTGTGCATTCTTTATCCTCTGGTGGGAGCACCTGCCCCTGTTGGCTGCTTCACTTCTAGCTCTGGCACTTCCATTTCTGCCCATCCCTCCCCACACACACACCCGGGAGCTTCCCCAGTTATGTTTGGGCTTGGCTGAGTGTTTCCATCTCTCTTGGCTTTGGAGCAGGAGAAGCATGTGGGCTGTCAGTGAGCTCTGCCATTGGTCTGCTGGGCCCCTTTGGGTCGGGGCTGTGGCAGCCACCAAGGACTTTGTGAGAAACAGATCACAGAGAGAGGCCGAAAGAGGGACTCAGCCTGGGTTGGGTGTGAGGCAACAGGGAGGGAGGCCTTTGAGGGCTATAGTGCAGTGAGGCCACGGGAAAGGGCAGCCCGGCATCCGGCTGGGTTTGGCCGCCTCTGGGGATTTGGGAGGGTTGGTGGAGTTCTTCATAGCTGAGGGAGTCCATGAAGAGGTCAGGGAAGTGCCCAAGGCACCTCAAGAACTAGATGGGGTTGTAGAAGGGGCAGAAGATGCACCCACCCTGTGTTGAGCAGGGCCTTGGTGGTGCACTTGAAGGTGAGCAGCCCTGTGGGCACAGTTGGTTCAGCAGTGCCTCTCTCCACTCCCTAGGGAAACCTGTTTGACTTCCTGCGTCTGACAGAATGGCGAGGCCCACGAGTGCTCTACTTTGGTGACCATCTCTACAGTGACCTAGCGGTGAGGGAGGCAGGACTACAGTGAGGGAGGGAAGGAAGCCCTCCCAGCTGGTGCTAAGGCCCATCCCACCCTCCACCCACCAGGATCTCATGCTGCGACATGGATGGCGCACAGGCGCCATTATCCCCGAGCTGGAGCGAGAGATCCGGATCATCAACACAGAGCAGTATATGCACTCGCTGACCTGGCAGCAGGCACTCACGGGGCTGTTAGAGCGAATGCAGGTGCAGGGCAGTGGGAGTGGTGGGCTCCTGTGGGGAGGGGCTGGTGCTGCAGCCTCATGGGCACACACACCCCGTTGTTTCCCCAGACCTACCAGGATGCAGAGTCAAGGCAGGTGCTAGCTGCCTGGATGAAGGAGCGGCAAGAGCTGAGGTAAGCGGGGAAGAGGACAGGACCAGAATGCTATCATGGCCCTTCTTTTGCCTGTCCTTCACACCCACGTCTCCTCCTCAGGTGCATCACCAAGGCCCTGTTCAACGCTCAGTTTGGGAGCATCTTCCGCACCTTCCACAACCCCACCTATTTCTCAAGACGCCTTGTGCGCTTCTCTGACCTCTACATGGCCTCCCTCAGTTGTCTGCTCAACTACCGCGTGGACTTCACCTTCTACCCACGCCGCACACCCCTGCAGCACGAGGCACCCCTCTGGATGGACCAGCTCTGCACCGGCTGCATGAAGACACCCTTCCTTGGAGATATGGCCCACATCCGCTGAAGGCACCTTTATTGTCCATGACAAACCCCCTCAGTTCCTCCAGTGGCATCCACTCTGGGCAACCATGAGACAAGCAATAAAAGTGGTCTTCTTCGTCCATGTGCCATTGCTCACTTGACTGCAAGGATTCTCTGGGTATCAGGGAAGTCCTCCTCCATGAGCGAGTCCTGGGAGACAGAGGCCATTTGCAACAGGACAAGACTAGGCCCAGGTCCCCTTCCACAGCCTCCTGTCCCCACCCCCACTCACATCGAAAGGCTCACAAAAGGCATCATGGCTGCCAAAGACAGGGTTGGGGACAGAGACCAGGGTTGGGCTAGTCCCTTGTTGCCACGGAGAGAAGTCATCATCAGCATCATCTTCTGCCTGGAAGAAGAGGAGTGAGGGGCCTCCAACAAGATTGATGGGCCTCCAACAAGATTGATGGGCCCTGTATCCCACCTGTCCCAAGCCTACCTGGAAGGCAGAGAAGCCAAAGCCTGCAGGCTTGCTTCGGGCACGCAGGTAGAGGGCTCCAGACACCAACCCAAGCAGTGTTCCAGCAGCTACCACAGCCCCCACACTTGTTGCAACAGGTGGAGCCTCAGGTGCCAGAAATGCCCCCTACAAGCAAGGAGAGCATCAAGGACCTGGCCAGAGCTGTACCCTCACCCCTTGGTGCTCTACCTCCCCTTTCCCTGGACTCACGGTCTGTGGGGGTGCGAGGAGGGGGCTGGCCAGAACATGGATGATACCATTGACAGCCATGATGTCCCACATGATGACATGGCTAACCACAACTGCTCCTGGGGCCTGCAGGGAGACCAGAGTGAGTTCCCGAAGGTGAGTGAGGGCCAAGCCAAGGGTAGGGGCAGAGGCCAGTCTTACCACCAGGGCCCCAGAACTGTTCTCGGGGCTCAAGTCACTGATGATAAGGCTGAGACCTGAATGGGCAGGGAGCAAGGTCCCCTGGCTGGCATTGGCGCTCAGGAAGGTAGCATTGGAAGCATGCAGCTCCAGGTCTGGGCCACTCAGTGTCTAGGCAGAGCAAGCTTGGTTCAGTTAGGCCAGCTGGAGGGAGCCAACCAAGCCGTACTATTTCCACACCCTTGCTCTTACCGTATTGTCTACAAAGCCTTCATTAACAGGGACAAAGAGTGTCTTGTAGGTGAGCTCATCATCTAAGAAGTCCAGGAAGTCGAGACCCCGCTGGGTGGCGTTGGCATAGCTCAGTAGCATCTAGTAGGGTGGGGAAACAGGGCTGTGGGCAAGCTCTCTTTCTGGGGATCCTACCCCCCTACCCCTGAGGCTGGGCCTCATGCACACCCCATAGAAGGTGGAGAAGTTGGCAGTGGCAGCCAGCACGTCAAGCAGCTTCCCATTGCACACGCTGATTCCATCACCCACAAAACCGACCCGACAACTGCAAGCCACATCTGCAGAAAAGGCAGGTCAGTGGCTCAGTGGGTTGGTGAGAAAGGAACAGAACAGGAAGTGGGGCACGGTGGGGTGCACACACCTTGCACACGGTAGCAGTAGGCATCCCAATGCTCTGAGAGGTTCTTACGGACACCCAAGCTGACTACACCTACCCGACCATCACCACAGTCTGCTGCAGGAAAGACGACAGGGTGGGCAGCAGAACCATTGGCCAGCCAGCCCACGAGGCAGAGGTGGAAGCCCAGCTGTAGGAGCAGTAGGAGATACTCAGATGTAAGGCCTGACTCTAAGGACCCCTGGAGGCTTGGCTCCAACTCCTGAGCCCCACGTACCTGCTGGGCAGCAGACAGCTGAGGAAGTGTAGCAAGGACACCTCCCTGGGTCCCACATGCCACCTCAGCCTCTAAGAAGGTCAGGCCATAAGGGCCACTGCTGGCCTGGAGGTGGAAGACACCTGCCCGCTTCTCTGCAGGAAGGAAGGTATAGGATCAGCCAACTGGCACCCAGGAGCAAAGCAGGGTCTTGGGAGCAGGTGTGGCAACTCACCCTGGAAATGTAGGTCTGTGCACACGGCATCCGCATGGCAGGGTGGTGGCTGGTCCAGGCAGCGGTCCACGGGTGGCTCAGGCTCCTCCAGACACTGCAGTCCGTCACCCACGTAGCCTACATGGCACTCACAGCGCCGTGTGTTCTGGTGGCAGGGAGAATAGTGGGCACCTTGTAGAGACCAAGGAGTGAGCCCATGGGACCGCCCCGGCCTGGCTGCTTACCCCACCTGCTTACCGGGCCAGTGTTCAGACAGTCAGCATGTTCACTGCAGCCCCCACGGTGGCTGTCCAAGCAGGGGTTCCGGGCCCGGCAGTTCCAGCCATCACCCTCATAGTTGGGCAGACAAGCACAGGTGACCACTGTGCCTACTTGGCTACAGTTGGCATGCTCACTGCAGCCGCCATGCCCCTTCTGGCACAGGTCCACCACTGGGGGCAGGAAGGAGTGGCTGAACCAAGTGACTGAGGAGGTCAGTAGCCCTCCCACCTGCACAGCCACCTGCTTACCTGTGCACACACGGCCATCACCTTCATAGCCCAGGCTGCACTCACAGCTGTTGCCCGCACGACACATGGCCTGGGGTGCACAGGGTGGGGTGCACACAGACTGCAGCTCTGTCCCCCATCCCACATGAACAGGTCAGTAGCTGGTCTCCACCTTCCCACCCTACCTCAGTGCTTGTACCTGAGTGGGTAGTGGGGACATGCACCCATGGTGTGTGCAAGTGTGCAGCATAAGCGCAAGGGCCACTCACCCAGCTGCACCTCACAGTGTGGCCCAGTCCAGCCTTCATCACAGAAACAGGAGCCAGAGCCTCCAAGGCCGTCATCACAGTGACCATGGGAACTGCAGCGGCAGGCTGGGGAGAGGGACAGGCAGGAAGGTAAAGGTTGGCACACTGGCCAGAGGGAGTGGGGCAGGGCAGGGATGGCCTACCTTGGCAATGGAGTCCAAAGGCACCCGGGGCACAGAGTTCACAGGCTGTTCCAGCAAAACCTGAACGGCACTGACACTGCCCACTGCCACTCATACCATCCAGGCACACACCATGGTCACTGCAGGGGCTGCTGGGACCACCAGGGCAAGCTAGGGGGTAGAGTGGGAGAAGTGAAGTTGACCAGGGAATCATCAGGACACCCATACATGCAGCCCAGCTCTGTCATCTGTCTGCAACCTAGTGGTGCTCTTCAAGGAGTACCAGTTCCATGGCCCCAGACTCCTGAGAACCCACCAAGCACAGAGAACAGCCAGACCATCCAGTGCTTCCCCCTCAACACACTTGTCCCACCCTGGGGTATCCCAATACCCTTTCTCAGGAACCAACTTGAGCCTTTCCCTTAGCTACCTTGGCAGTCACTGCCATAGTGACCAGGACAGCAGCTGGGCTTCCAGTTAGTGGTGACACAGTTGCGGTGGCAGCCCCTGCCCAGGCGTTGGGGCTGGCTCCAGAGGCTGGGCCGTACCCACACACTGCGAAGTGCCAAGGAACCCAGAGGAGGGGTTGTCCAGAACTTGGAGTAGTAGCGCCAGCAGGCCTCAGGGCTGCCCTGGCCCAAGAGGAATCAGACCACAGCCAGCCTGAGCTTGGTGGTTTTTGGCCCCTGCCCAACCCCCAGCTCAGCCTTAGCCCCTTACCTGCTCCTTCGATCCCTCAGGACAGGGCGGCTCCAGCCCACAGATGCTACAAGTCTTCTGGAAGGGATAGAAGCCAATACCACGAAGTCAGGTAGACAGACAGGACAGGGAGCCCTGCCCATCTACATAAGGCGTCCTCACCAGTCGCAGTGGCCGGGTCTCAAAGCGATCACAGCGAGCACCAAGGCCAGGTGGCTCCAGCAGCTGGTCAATGCCATAGGCCAGGCCACCTTCAAAGGGCAAGTGCCGCTGCACAATGTGGGCGTCATCCTCGCCCACCATAAGCTCACCCTGCAGAGGATGTAGAGTACATGGGGGTCGTTCGTGGGCACTAAAGTTCCTCACTGTCCCTCCTGCGGCCCTCATCCAAGCCCTCTTCCCAGACTCACTGGCCGGACCCGACTGCAGGAGAAGGAGATGGGAGTCCCGTGCATGGTTCGGAGTGGGCCCAGGTTGGGTAAATCAGCTGCCAAAGCCTGAACAAATGTAGCCACGATTGGAGCTGGGTAGGCAGTCTAAGCTGCAGGTAGAGGCAGCCAATGACTGAAGATGTACCCACCTCAACATTGCGTATCACATGGCCCCGCAGAATGGCTGACAGCTTGTCACGGTGGTCCTCATGGTACAGCCAGGCCTGCCGGTCAGGAGGTAGGGTTTGCAGGGCAGAATCTGTGGGCCACAGCATTGTGAAGGGCTGATGGGAAGCATCTCGAAGCATAGGCAGGAGGCCAGCCGTCTGGTGGGTGGGAGCAAGAGGTATGGATCACAGAGACCAGGAAGGGACTCCAGAGACCCAGGCTTAGGCAGCCTTCCCAGTAGCTACATTCATCCCAGGATGACAGTGGTCCCTCCTTATCTGCAGGGGATACATCCCATGGCCCCCAGTGGATGCCTGGAATCATGAATAGTACTGGAACCTATATATTTTTTCCTATACCTATGATAGGGTTTCATTTGTCAAGTAAGCACAGTAAGAGATTAACAATAGAGCAATGGTAACAATAAGCTGTGATAAATTACTTAAAACTTATTGGACTGGAGGCATGGCTTAACCCGTTGAATGCTTACTTTGCAAGGATGAAACCCTGAGTTCAAACCCCAGTACCACCACAAAAAAAAAAAAAAAACCTTGTGAGTTATTTGGGGGGTTTTCCATTTAATAGTTTCAGACTGTAGAAAGATCATGTCTAAGGGGGACTCTTGTTCATGGGAACGTTTGCAGGGATGAAATTGTGCACAAAGACTTAAATGACTACACACTCGTCAGGTCTGCAAGCTCACATAGGCACAGTGTGCCCACACTGGGAGGCTCATGCACACAGACGTGGCCTATTTGGACAAGGGCCTAGTCACACAGGCACCTTTACAGGGGAAGTGAAGCATACACACTGTTGCACACACATGCACACTGACACGGCCATATGCGTAGGAGTGGTACCGTCACAAGGTGGCTGAAGATCTTGTACCCGAAGCTCTCCGCTGCCATAGTCACATTTCTCTGGGGAAAGGCACTCATAAGCAACAAGGTCAGGTGGGAAGGGAGGATCCCAGGCTCATGCCCAGTCATACCCGAGGAGCTGGGGTAGCGTCAGCCTCCCAGTGTAGTACATCTGGTGGCAGCAGGACACGGTCAATGAAGTGCAGGACACCATTCACTGCCTCATGGTCGCTGCTCACTATGCGAGCAAAGTCATTGAGGTATATGCTGCCCTGGGGGTGGGCACGGAGTGAATGAAGCAGATTGGTGGGGTGCTTGAAGAGCTATGGGTGAGATCTGGACAGGAGTCAAGGCAATCTCAAACACGCCTTAGTCTTAGCTAGGGACTGTGGGAGCAGGGCACTAGTGCCAGCATGGCTTGGGAATCCCAGGTTTGGAAACCCAGATTGTGGGCAAGATGCAGACAGGCCTCATCTCCCTCTCACTGTAGTACTCCTCAGGCTGGGTCTTAAATGCATGGAGGCAGAGGCTAGTCTTGAGTGGACCTGAGTTCTGGGCCTGAGGCAGGGGTGCTGGGCTCACCTCCCTCTCGCTGAAGCGCAGTGAGTGTCCTGAGAGTGCTGTGGCATATCCCTCATCCAGCATCTCCTGGCTCCGAAGCTGCCGGCAGCCAACCACATGGTAGCGAAACACAAGCTGACGATGCGCACGAATCCTAGCCAGCTCGTCCTAGGTGGAATCGTGAGGGGAATGGGAACCCCCTAGTTGTTGTCTCTGCCCATGTAGTGCCCACCACCAGAGTGCTTATCTCCCCGCAGCTGTGTACCTGTGACAGGTTGGTCATCAGATCTGCATGCGGTACGAAGATTGTGAAAGGCCCATTACCCTTGAGCTCCTTGTATTCCTGGGGGATGGGGGACAGTTGAATGGAAAAAGAGCAACCTGGGACCAATTTGGGGCTTCCATGGGTCTTCTGGAAAGACTTGAGGCCAGACTGACTACTCAACTCCATGATCAGAGGCAAGTGGGACCTGCAGGTCACAAAGGCTCCAGGCTTGTTACTTACCAGGAGGTGGAGGCTGAAGAATGAGGCATGCTTGTCCCGAAGGAGTTCCTGGGGGATTGAGGATCAGTTCAGATTTTGTATGGCTACTATTCAGGGGCTGGTGACTGTTCCAGCACCTGTAGCCCAAGAGCTGGCCAAGGTAGAGATGAGGAAAGGAAAGCCAGGGTAATCTGAGCTGGGGTCAGGATTAATTTCATGTGTCATAGCTGAAGTTAGAACTAGGAAAAGTCAGGGATCGCGTCCAGGGTTGCAGTCGAGGCAAGGATCAGGATCAAAACTGGGATCTTAGCCAAGATCACAGTTCAGGCCCATGGGGCATAACTAAAATCAACTAAGGGATCAGACCTGAGCATCATTACCAGGCCAACTCGGGCACGGCAGGTGAATCCGTCTCCCACAGTGTGGGCTGTGTCACAGGTGCATGTCCTCTGGCCATCCCCTGAACTTTTGCACACGGCATAAGGGCTGCAGCCTCCATTATTCTGTACCGGGGACAGGAGAGAGAGAGAGGTATCAGTAGTGTCCCCTGCCCTGGGGAAAGAGACCACAAAGGTCCCTACCCAGCCCCCAAAGCCCTATTTCTGACCAAACTTGAGTTAGAGAAAGGAGGCCCACCCTACAGAAGTCCTTGGTAACCTCCTGGGCAGGGGTGTTGCTTCCTGCCTTAGTCACCTCTGTGAAATGTGGCAGTAGGGGAGCCTGACCTGGGAACAGAGGTCCAGAAGGTCACAGGTCTGAATGCCATCACCACTGTAGCCCTCGCGGCAGCTGCAGGAGACCTGTCCCAAATCCTGATCAATGGGGCTGCCAGGGGCCAAGAGCTGCCAGCACCCTGGACAGAATCATCATCCTCCACCCGACTCTCTTCCAGGCCTGGTCTGAAAGGAGGCCCCACCCACTGGGAAGGGCACAGCTCTACCCCGCTAACCTGCTGAGGTCCTGTAGGGATGCAATCAGCATGAATGTGGCAACCCCCATGGTGGATGAGACAGGCATTAGTTTCTGGGGAAAAACACTGGGGTAAGAAATGGTCCTTGAAGGCCGTTCCATCATCTCTCCATCTGCACCTCCAGTTGCTCATCCCCTCCCCTCTGTGGGTTCCCAGTCCCCACACCACATGTGCCCCTCAACACTTCCTTGTCTGCCTCAGATCACTAAAACTAGACCCTCCAGTCCCACACGCATCCTGGTTGGGGGCCCCGGTCTCACCCTGGCACAGCTGCCCATCGCCTGTGTAGCCATCACGGCAGGTACACGTCCGCTGTCCAGGTGCCACCTTGGTGCAGTTGGCATGAGGGGAGCAACCCCCATGGTCATGGGCACAAGGGTCCACCTCTAGGGTTAGATGGTTCCAGAGAGTTGTGAAGAGCAGGAGAGGGGGATAGGAAAGGAGGGCATGAGAGAAAGGAACACATCAGAGAGCTAAGACCCAAGACGGGACAGCAGTGAGGCTCTGTGGGAACAACCACCCCCAACATCTCAAAGGAGAGCCCAAGGCAGCCACGTGGCAGGACCTGAACAGTAGCTGCCGTTGCCTGAGTATCCTGCAGCACAGATGCAGACAGCAGCTCCAGCCGAGTCCTGTACACAGCTGGGAGGGACGGCAGCAGCTCAGCCTGTGCCTGGCCTGCACTGCCTTCAGTCCCCCACCACTTTCCCAGGTTGAGCTCACTCACTTGGCATTAGGGTCACAGTTCTTGAGACACTGAGGGCTAGAGATTTCTGAGGGTGGGAAGAGAGTTCTGGTCATTCAGACCCAGAATTGCCTCCCCGTCATCACTCACCCCCACTCCCCGGAACCCACTCACTCTGGTCACAGTGGAGACCCTGCCAGCCCACGTTACAGACACAACTCCCATCACCTCGCAGGCCCTCCTGGCACAGCCCGTGGGCACAGTCACACACTGTGAGTGGGATAAGACAGGAAAGGGTTAACGCCATGCCTAACCCCTGCCCCTGCCAGGATGTCCAGTCTGCTCTGCTCTCCAAGGCACCACCATGCTTCCCTTCCCAAGCCTCACCTCCAGTGCAGGTAGGCCCGTAGCGGCCCAGTTCACACATCTCACAGGCCGTTCCATGAAAGCCCTCATGGCAGCGGCACTCCCCACTGCCCAGGAGCCTGTCCTGGCACTGCCCGTGGCCTGAGCACACACCTCCCACACCCCCTGGGCACGGCTCACACAGCATGCCAAAGAATCCGGGGCAGCAGTCGGGCACCTGAAGGAGGATGGAAAGGAAGGAGAGGCCCAGCATAGGCCAGAATGGTGTCTGGGACAAGGGAGAAGTTGGGGGCAGAGACAGTAGCACAAAGCACCTTGGAACCACAGACCCGGGGATGGGTAGATACAGAGGTACAGAGAATGTCTTCTACAGCTCTCCCCTGGCAAGAGTGGGGAAGCTGGCTCAAATAGGAGGTCTAACCCAGATGGATCCCACAGTGAGGAGCAGAGCCAGGCCTGGTTGCCACTCTGACTTGAGGCGAGCTCCCTTCTCTCCCCTTCCCTTCCTCAAGCTACCCTTGCTTTGCTGGCCTCACCCAAGGCTCAGCCCTGACTCTGCCCTTGAAATCCAGTACAGAAATCATCCCCCCGTCACACAAGGGCTCCCTTTCCCACCTATTCTTCCCTGGCCAAAGCCTTTGAATGGAGTGGGGACGCTTCAGAGCAAACCTGAATCTTCTTGACACAGGTGTAAGAACAGCCTCTAGAGAAAGAGATGCCAGATCTGTAGACACAGCTCTTCCTGGGTGTGTCCTAGAAATGAGACAGGCAGAAGTCAGCCAGTGGCTTGGGCAGGGCCAGGTCAGTGACTAGGGAGGTCGACAAAGGGGCTTCAGGTATCAGAGTGAGAGAAGGGCTGGCGCTGGGGGCTGGAGCTCCTTGGGAGGAGCGAGGGCAGAGCAGCTAAGCCCAGCCTCACCTGTAGCTGGAAGCCCTGAGTGCAGCGGAATTTCCGGGTGCAGTTTATGCATTTCTCCTACAGGATAGGAAAAGCAGGGCATCAGGTGGTCCAGGAGTGGAGGCCCCCAAACCCACCACCTATCCTCCAGGGCAGGCTGACCAAAGCCAAACCATTCAGGCTAACCAGCAGCCCCTGCTGCCCTCCTGTGGCTCCAGCCTCTCACCCTCAAGGCCTCTGCATGGCTGTGTAGGCAGCGACTTGAGCTCACGGTCAGGACCCCCGACAGACCAAATAGCGAGCAGCCAGGGGCCTCTAGCAAGGGGCCTTCTATCGGCACATGGTTCACTTCAGGCTGGGAAGTGGAACAGAAAGCTAAATCCACCTACCTACCCCTCCACCACCCTTACTTTGGGGGACTCCAACTTTGGATATTTCTCCCCACTCGTTCTTCAGGCCACCTTTGTTTTGCTGGCCTCACCTGAGGTCTGGCCCTTCCTCTCCCCTTAAAATCTAGTCCTGGATCCTTCTAGGCAAAGACATACTCCAGGGGTGGAGGGGTGGCTCCAGGGGTGGAGGGGTGGCTCCAGGGATTGGGGAGGTAGCTCCAAGGATGGGATGGAGTCTCCCTGGAGCAGAGGTGAGCTTCCAAAGGGAAGCCTTCTAGAGCCAAATCCCCAGCAAAGGGCCTCCTTGCATCCTGCCCCTCAAACCTGACCACTGTGGTTGTAGAAAACGAGCCAGTGAGCTGGGCCCAGGACGGAGTTGCGGTGTCCCCCCTTGCTCAGGGTTTCCCTGGAGAGTGCTTCCCCCAGGATCACATGGTGTCGTACTGCATCTGCATCCTGGTTGGGGGGGTGGCGGCAGGAGTCAGCTCAGGGGGTTCCAGGCCTTCCAAGTACCCATCTTGTGTCCCTTTGCCTTGGCATGGGAGGCTCACCCTCTGAGCTTCACCCTCCACCCTTAGTAACCCCATCCCCATGGTCTCACCAGGCTGCTGCTGTTGCCCTGGGCCTCCAGGGAGCTGTTTGTGGGCACAAAGATGGTATAGGCAGTGGCGGCCTCGATCTGGGCCACCAGCTTGTGGTGCTAGGCACAGGGGCAGGACACAAGGATGGGCATGTCAGTCCTCAGCCCTGAGGCTAGGAGCCAACCAGGTCCCTGCAGACCCCTGGGCAGGCACTCCCTTTCCACAAGCCTCCCTCACCTGCAGCAGCTCCCGGAAGAGGCGGAAGGCAGGTACCAGGTCCAGCTGCTGCAGCAACCCCTGCCCAGTCTGCACATCCCCTCGTGGGGGCAGCAAGACCTGGTATGGAGCACAAGGGGCTATTGGTCTCTCATTGCCTCTTGGACCACCCAGAAGTTTCCCTGCATATACCCCCCTCTTGCCATACCTGGTTGAGGATATGTAGGACACCGTTGGTGGCCAGGAGGTCAGCTACATCCACGCTAGCATTCTGTACCCAGACTCTCTGGAAGGCAGCAGGCAAAGCTCAGCACAAGAGGGCACAGACATATGCTCAAGAGAGGCCTAGCCTGCTTCAGAGACTCAGGCTGTACCAGGTGGTCACATAGAGCCTCATTAGGGCTCATGTGAGAAGAGTAGATACTTGTGTGCGGACACAGCTCCTAGTAGGACAACTGCTGCCAGCTCAAAGACACACTGCCATCAGCAACATGTCCTGAGCACATCCTCTGAGACTAGCTCAGGGCTGGGGCCCTCTATCTCCCCCAGAAGCCCTGGTCTGGGGAAACCTGCAACAACTCAAGCTTCCTCCCATGCCCTCTTCTTCCCAGAGTTCACCTCGTACCCCACTGATGTTGCGAATCTCCCAGTGTGTGGTAGGGCTTAGGGTGTCCACTTCCTGCCCACTCAAACTGGCCAGCTTCTCCTCAGAAAAGGTACCCTTGAGAAAATGGGCCCTGAGGGGCCACAGTTTGGGGAGGGGCATGGAACCACGTTAATATAACGTACAGAGAGCCCTGTCCTGGGCCCTACACCAATGGGTGAATACATGCTAGACAGGGGACCCAATTCTCCATCTCTCTGGGGAGGGCCTAGATCCCACCCAAAAGCCCCCTCCCATGGTCTGGCCCAAGCATAATTGCCCCACCTGACCAGGTTTGGCAGCATTTTCGGCTGCAGCCAGAAGGCCTGGTCCTCGGGGCTCAGCCTGCGGATGGCAGACTCAGAAGGCACAAGGGCTGTGACTCGGCTGTCAGCAGGAAGAGTGATGTCAGCACTCTGCACAGTGAGCAGGGGGGCAGAAGTAGTGAAGGCAGCACGTCAAAGTAACCTGCTCCCAGCTCCAGCTCTTGGAGATGGTAGGTGGCACCCGTGCATCCAGGAAGGCCTCCTGGCTTTGAACCCCTGCCTCAGTGTTCTCCCCTATCCTACCTTGAACCACTTGAAGAAGGCAGAGAAGTGAGCATTGGCCTCCAGTTCCTAAGGGATAGGAAAGAGCTGAGGTCATGGGACTCAGCAAATTTAAGGGCAAATTCAAGGGCCCCTCTACCCATTTCAGGTGCATGGGAGGACTCCTATCCAAGCATAGGGAAGAGAGTGAGTCTTCACACCACTTACCCAGAAGATGTCTCCATAGCAACTGAAGCCATCACCCCCAAAACGAGGGGGACATGTGCAGACTCGTTGACCTCCTCCTACTGCCTTGCAGGTAGCCTGGTAAGGCCAGACAGACATGGCCCCCATTCAGAACCCATATGGCAAACTCTGTTCCCCCCTTGTCATCCATCCCCAGCTGTCTGTCTGTCCAACTATCCAGCCCTACTACCTCTCTCTCCAGCCCTGTCTATATTCACAGAGCCCCTTTTAGTGGGCCTAGCCTTGCTCCCCAGGATCACTGAACATGTGACAAGGAAATTACCCCATCCTATCATGACAGTGGGTTGGGGGATGGGAATCCCAGGGCTAAGGGGTACCCATGTGGCCTTGCACTCTCAGGAGCCTGAGCAGAGAGCAGGAGCTAACAAAGCCAGAGGGGGTTGCTCAGGGAGGCAGAAGTGCTGTCACATGGGGCAGAGTGACATCAGGTGTCACTGAGGAGCTTGGAGTAGCCAGAGGAGCAAGGAATGGGGGTAGGGTGGAACAGAGAGGAGACTGGTTAGGTGCTGGGGCTGTCTCTTCTAGGGCCTCTGGCCCTAATAAGGAAGCACAAAGACTATCCTGTGACAGGGGCAAGAGAATGACATGGTTGAATATGGGGGTTAGCATGTCTAATGTTAAAGGAGACAGAGTGACAGAACTGCTTAGGCCCACCTGGAAAAGCCTCCCCAGGTCTCTGAGCCCTCTCCCAGCACCACTCACCAGGCCATGGCAGCCACCGTTGCCCACACGGCAGGGATCGATGGGGCTGCACTCATAACCGTCCCCAGCAAAGCCCAGCTTGCAGGTACACCGGCTCTGGAGAGGTCAGGGAACAGAGGGCCTCATCTCACCACGGGTACCAACCCCAGAGTCCATCACAACCCAGGAAGGTATACCCACATCCCATGGTGAGCTTCCCCAACCCTGCCCCAGGAGAATCGCCCTCCAGATGGGACCCAGAGGTGCAGAGGGAGGATGGACTCTTAGGATGAGGCTGAGGAGGTGGTAGCACTGGTGGGGAAGCCTTCCTGGGAACTCGGTGCCTCTCTGCACTCAGAACTCTGAGAGGGCCACTGAGAAGAGCAGCTTGTGACCAATGGGCAGGTGTCTGCCAAAGCCAGTCCCCAGGATGACAAGTCAGATTCCATCCCCATCCCTGGCACACTGTTTGGCTGCTCTGGTCCCTCCCCGTAACTCCAGTACCCTTGGGCTTGTCCACACTGCATGTGAGCGATCCATAAGACACCCTCTGAACTCAATTGTCCTTGTTGTCAAATTAGGGGCATCTCAACTCACTCGTAACCTCATTCTAAATTTTAAGGCTCCCAGTGGGATTCAGAGCCCTTATACGCATCTGCGTTCTTACCGTTGATGCCCCCTAGACTGGTGGCCAAGAGGCCGGCATAGAATTGGGAGGTCAAGGAGCCCATGGGTCCTTACACAAGTTCTAAAGGTTTAGGGATGCTCCCTCCATGGGCAGGGCCTCTTCCTGCCTTGCTCGGCGTCACGATCCCCAAGTCTAGAACAGGAACCAGCCTGTTCCTCAGTAACATGAGAGAAGCCAATGAGTGGGTGAATGAACCAGTCTCTGACCTTGAGCTTGGCGTGGACATTGCTGGAGTCTGTTGGGGGCCGGGGAGGCGTTCTTGGAACTGAGGCCCTCAGCCACCCTGCTGTTCCTGACCCTACTCTGTCTTACCTGCCCAGGGCCCACATAGCTGCAGAGGGCATCAGCGTGGCAGCCACCTCGAGTGTCCAGCACACACTCATCAATGGCCACACAGACGCGCCCATCCCCGCTCCAGCCTTTGTGGCACGTGCAGTGGTGGGTGCCCAGGTCCCCAGGGACACACTCAGCCTGTAAGAGTTGTGGGTAAATGACTCAGGGATGCAGGACCAAGGGCTGAGGGCCAGGGATCCCTGTCCTGACCCTGGGTCAGAACTTCCAGGAAAGGGCAGGGGAACTAACGTTCTGTGAGCAGCCGCCGCGGTCTGGATGGGAGCAGGGGTTGCTGCGTGTGCAAGAGTAACCATCGCCGTCGAAGCCATTGAGGCAGACACACCTGGGGGCAGGTGAAGGAGGGGCCTCCTTGAGCCTGAAGAAGAGGCTGAGCCAACCACTGTGTAAGATTACGGATGGAGTAGAGAGGGGGAGGAGCCCTCACCTGGCAACGCCTGCCTGGCTAACACAGCGAGCATGCCGGTGGCAGAGCTGGGCCAGCCCCATGGGCCCACAGTCCCCCATAGACTCATTGCAGAAACGGCCTCTGAAGCCAGGAGCACATGTGCCATGCTGACACACACCCCCACTGCCTGGACGGTTGTCACATAGGCCATGGACACAGCCACAGTCTGTAGGGAGGAGATGAAAGCAGAGAAAGTGAGGCAGTAGCAAGGCTGATTGGGACCCAGGACTGGTTTTTCAAGGTGAGGCAGCCAGTACAGATTTGACTTCAAGGTCACTTCAGACAGTCAGGCAGATGAAATGTGAGGGGTGGGGGGTCATTCTGAGCTGTCAGTCACCCCATTCTAACTGCCCTGTCCCTAACACCACCATCAGGAAGATGTCCAATGTGTCTGACCAAAATCCTGCTGGCTTTAGATTAAAATGCAGTTCTCTTCCTGGCATGGGTGAAGGAGACAACATCTATTTCTGTTCCCAGATCTGGCTCCACGCCCTCTGGCCTTCATTACTCTTCTTGGTACCCTAGTACCCTACTGGGAACCCCTAACATCCTTTCTAAAGGAGACCTTTCTCTCTGGGAAGTGACCTAGGCCAGGCAGGACCACTCACCTTCCTGGCACTGGTCTCCATGCTTGTTTGGGTTGGAGCAGATATGGCAGGCGATACCCTTGTAGTCTGGGAAGCAGAGGCAGGCCCCATTGCCCTGGACCCCATCACTGCACTGGAGGGTGGGCAGGACACAGGATCAGTCCCAGGAAAGTGTCATGCCACATTCCCTCCCCTAATCCCTCTCTCTCCCCAGTCTGGCTCTGAACTCCTACTGCCCCTACCCCCATCCAGGCCTCACCCTGGAAATGACTTTCAATGTCGCTGATGCTGCCAATGAACTAGCCCCTAAAAGGCACCTGGCCCTGGCAGTTTCATGCTCAACCTAGAAACACATAACTCCCGTCTTCTTTCATAACACAGATCACAAAGTAGCCCTGATGTCATAAAGCAGATTACTAAAGAAGATACCAACAAATAAGCATTTTTGAAAATAGATACAAAAATCATTAAACTGATTATTTCTAACAGAAGCAGTGGAAATAATTAAGTACAATTTCTACTGCCTAGATGTTAGGAACCAAAGGCCAGAGAGAGAAAGGCTTGGCTCCGACCTAGACTACCAGCTTGGGAAGGCTACCTATCTTCCCCACACCTCACTCTGGGGAGCAGGGACTCACATTGCCTTTGCCATAGCAGGGGTTAGAGAAGCCCCCAGGACACTGTGTGCAGTCAGGCCCAAAAAACCCTTTGCAGCAGCCACGTTTCTGTAAGAGACCAAGCAGACAGGAGAGCCCAGGGTATGCCCTGCCTTGCCCAGGCAACTCCTGCTCCCTAGGCCCATCCCTAGGCGGCACCTCTTCCATCACTGGGATGCAGTGCAGCTCCCTGGCAAAGGCAGCCCACTCAGCTCAATTTGGGGGCCCCAAATAAGTAACAAGTGCCCAGAGTCCCCAGGGAGCACGCCCCCATGCCTAGACTCACTGTGATAGTCTGGTTGCAATAGTGAGCACAGCCCTTCTTCAGCATGTTGAGCCCGGTAGGGTCATGGGTGTAGACACACTCCTTGGGGAAGATTTCCTAGGGCATGGCCATGCAAGGCCAGTCAGTAGAGGAGACACTGGGCCAGCCCCTTTACCAGGCAGCTCTGGGTCCAGATCCTCAGCAGAGCCATAAGGCTCTGAGCTTCCAGATCTGGCTTGGCCTCCCGGCTCCTACTTCCCCCATCATAACTCAGGAGAGGAACCAGTGAGCCATTTGGGAGTCAGAGATCCCCAAGATCTGGGCCAAGGGCTGCTCACCAGCTTCACACTGTTGGGGGGGCATTTGCTGGTATTCAGGGCTTGGCAGTCCACACAGGAGCCCTGGGCAGGGGAGGGAGATTGAGGAGATGGTCAGGCATTGTTTATTTATTCAACAACCCTGAGAAAGTGACATTTAGCTGAGACCTGAGGGATGAAAAAGAGCCAACCACAGGAAGGCCAGGGGTAGTGTTGCAAGGAGGCAGGACCTTTAAGAAGCATTTAGGGTCATGAGGTCCCCCCTCTCACAGGGATTAACAGAGTCCCCTGACAGTGGGTTAGTGATCATGACAGTGAGTTGTTAAGGAGAGGGCCTTGCATCCTCTCTTGCCCTGTGATCTCTCCTGCATGTGCCTGAGGCCTTTCTGTCACCAGGGCCTCAGCAGAAGCCAAGCAGCTGCTGGCGCCTTGCTCAACTTTCAGAAGCATGAGCCAAAATAAATCTCTTAGAAAATTACCTCTTCTGCCTCAGGAGATGGTCACCTGTCCCCACGCACTAAAGTGGAAGTGGGGGTACGGGAATGGCTGAGTGTGAAAGGCTCACCAGGACGACCTTGTACTGCTCCTCGTCACAGTTTTTGGGCAAGATGGGCAGAATGGTTGGTGGCAGCAAGATGCCTTCCAGCATATGGATCACACCATTGGCAGCTGGCACATCCACTCTCCTCAGAGGCACTGCCTCAGGTCCCAAAAGGATGCGCCCCTGCCGCAGAGACAGGTGTGCCACTTTGAGTCCAACAGGCCTCCACCTGCCTTCGTTGTGTCTGTCACATGGAACAACCCTGCCGTGGGCTGACCCCTCCTCCTAGAGGCCTTTCTGCCCTGTTGGATCTATCCCTGCATCCCCCCAGATCTCCACCACAGCCTAGCAGAGTGTCCTGCCTACCATGGCTCAGGTCACACAGGCAGTGTGAAAGAGGCCAGGTGACCAGCCATCAGTAGTTTCTTCCTTGGTCTGTGTGTTCAGACATTCAGGGACCTTACCTCCTCAGAGATATTCACAACCAGGACCTGGTTTGCCATGGTGAGGACCCGCCCCTTGGAAATGAGCTTCTCCACGGTCAGCTAGGGTGAGGAGATGATGGCTTTGGGTGGGGCACTGGCCACACCTTGCTCAGGTGATGCACAGCAACCCCCCAGCCCTCCTCAACCAAAGACAGCCCCTAGGATCCCTTCAGCAGGTGATGGCTCAGAGGAGGGTCACTCACCTGGCCGTGGTTGTAGATGTGGTACCTCACCAGCTCCTGCAGTTTAGAGAGGCCCTGGCAAGGGAGAAGGAATTTGGCTCCTGGAGGCCCAGCGAGGAGGGTGGAGGCCAGCCCTGCAGCCTCTTTTCCCCACCAAGCTTACTGATGTGAAGAGGTAGATCAGACGACCATCACGCAAGCTGTCCACAGCCTCATTGCTCGGGACAAAGACTGTGAAGGGCCCAGGCCCATCCAGGATGGAAGGTAGTCCACAGTTCTGTGGCAGTGGGAGAGAGGCTCAGGGGGCTCCATGACCAGCCCCCACCTTGGGTTCCTGCCACTTTCAGCCTGAAGGGAACTCCCACAGAGTAAGTGGGAGACATGGACAATGGATCCATGCTACCACACTGAACTACAATCCCACCAGGATGGTAATGGGAAAGTTCTAGATGGGGTAGGAAAGGCCATGCTACTCCAGGACCCCAGAGCACTGTAGAACAGATCCTGGGGTAATGAAGAGTCTTGGCCCAGAAGCCAGATGGCCAGGACCCTTCCCCAGCTCACCTCCAGAATGGTTTCAAACCGGCTGAAGGCCTCGGTAGAGGCAAGGATCTGGTCAATGGTTTTCTGTAAGAAGGGATGTGCATGAGGTTCCCAGAGAAGGGGTAAGGCTGCTTAGCCACCAGGGAGAAGAACCATCCTCCTGCCTGCCAGACGTGCCCTGCCTCCTACTTGGATTCTGCAGGACTCAGAGGTCACCTAGCAGCACAGGGTGGAGAGGAGGAAGGTGCTGGCTCACCTTGGGGTCGCCAGGGAGCCTGGGTGGGGGCTGCCACCGCAGGGCAGTGACAACATGGAAGACACCATTGGCTGCTATGTAGTTGGCCTTGTGGATGCTGAATGTCTGCTGGGGTTGGTCTTTGTACTTGTAGGTGTATCTCTGAGGAGACACAGAAGTCTGACTACAGCCCATATGCTGGACCCTCTGTCCTGAGGGTCCTTCCCATCTGCACACCTTTGCCAGGGCTGTCCTCCACCTGTGACTTCTCTGGTCCCCAAGCTGAGGTCACCCCCTTACCAGGCGGTTGAAGGTGACAGTGATCTCCTGCCCGGCCAGTGTCCACCACCTGCGTGTGTTCTGGGTCCCTGTGTCCTCCAGGATGTGCTGTCCTGCAATGATGTGCTGTCTGCAGAGCTCCTGGGCAAGTGCCGCCTGCAGAATGGAGTGCCGGGTGAACCCAGGAAGGCCAGCCCTCTCTGTGCCACCCCTGGTTGAACAATGGAGGGGACAAGATTCTTCCCAGGCCTCTGTTCTCCAAAGTGTGAATGAGGGGCTATCTTTGGGGCCTGAAGCTAGGGGAAGCTAGGGACAGCATGGAGGGAGGTGGTGAGGCCATGGGTTGCTCTGCATGGGAAAGGCTTACGTTCATGGTCCGAGGGGTGAGGGAGGAGCTGGAGGAGCTGGGGGAGCTGGAGGAGAGGGATGGCACCAGCACAGTGAACGGGCCCGATGTGGTGAGGATCTCCAAGCATCCCTGCTCTGGGTGGGGGAGTCAGGAGAGAGAGAGGGAGCATCAGAATAGATGGGGAGACCCTAGAGAATGGGACTGAATCTGGGATGACCTCAAGCATTAATCCTAAGTTGGGGAGTTGGGATGGGAACCTTGGGTCTAGTTTGGAGGGTAGGTGGGACCATCAGGGTTGTGGACCAGATCCCACCTCCGTCATGCACCCCACCCAACCCATTCTTTGCTGCTGGGGCTCCTGGCCAGAGAAACAGGGATCTGCAGAAGCCAGCCCTCCCTCCTTGCCAGTGCTGCCTTTATGAGGGGCAGGGTCACAAGGCAGGCTGTGGGGAGCACACACCCAGCATGGCGATGGCAACTGTCAGCCGCAGAAACACCAGGCCTATCTGGTTGGCCCTCTGCACTTCATGGAGCAGGTGTCCATAGCAGGCACGCCCATCCCCTACCTCGCCCTCCTTGCATACACAGCTGGGGGGCCAGGAAGAACTGGTTAGGCTGTGTATGCCAGTCTCCCTCCTGGTCCTCTCCCAGCCCTCCCTGCAGGGCCCTGGAGGCGCACAGGCCACCCTCTCTGCTCTCCTCCCACCGCCCCCCCAGGCCCCTGTGCCCACCTGGTCTTCCCTTCAGGGGTCACCTGGCAGGTGGCTGATTGGTCACAGGAGTGGCGGGAGCAGAAGGCGAAGCAGCCAGCAGAGGCATTGTGGTTGATGCTGAGCAGGCCTGGTTGACATGAGCAGATGGCCTGGCAGGGGCAAAAGGGGACAGTGCATTCATCCATGAGAATTTGGGAGAGCTACTCCCTATGTCTTCCTCACATAGCCCTGTTGGCCCCCACGATTGCCCTCAGAGAATAGGGGTAGCATCTTCTTCCGTCCGGGGGGACTTGGGGTGTTCCAAGGGCCTTTGGCTTGCCTCGGACTCGGCAGTCAGAGTGGGTGGGTAGATTGTGGGGACAACCCAGCCTGCGCCCTGGCTCACCTTGCCTGGCTTCTGGTATATACACAAGGTGGAGTTGCTGGGGCAGCCACCAAAGTTGGTGGTGCAAGGGTCTTGGGGCAGACACACACTCCCATCGCCATGGTAGTTCTCAGGGCAGTGACACTGGGCCTGCCCTGTGGGGCTCACTTCGCATCTAGCCAGCGGGGAGCAGGGTGATGGTTGGCAGGGGTCGAGAGCTGCCAGGGCAGAGAGAAAGCCCGCATGAGTCAAAACCCAGGAGTTCCATCCCCTTCACAGCTTCCACAGGGGTGGCCAGAGTTGAGGTGAACAGGCTTCCCTGTTCCTGCTCCACCCCTGAGCTGGAGTCCCCAGCCTCCAGCTCACAGGCTCACCTTGGCATTTGCTGCCCTCCTTGGTGTAGCCTGGCAAGCACCTGCAGGTGGGGACTTCCTTAGAGCACTGGGAGTTTGGGGGGCAGTTCAGGTCCTGGCAGACGCGGAGCTCTAAGCAGAGAAGAGAGATCACAGTGATGGACAGGGTTGGGGAGGAACACAGAAACCAAAGTACTCTGCCCAACTTGCTGTGTGACTCTGAGCAGAGCCCTGCTGTCTCTGGGTTTTCAGACAGTGGAGTTCCGGAAGACACAACTTCTCTCCGACCAGGCTGCAGGTAGAGATCCTGCTGAGGCTCAAATCCCACCTGTTGCCCTACTCATCCTTCCCCACAGAGAACCTGCCATCCTAGGCTGCCCAGTAGCCTTGCTCACCTTGGTCACAGTGGGGGCCAGTGTATCCAGCAAAGCATAGGCAGCTTCCATTCCCCAGTGGGCCACGGCTGCACACACCGTGCACACAGCTGCACACTGGGAGGGGCAAGGCAGGGATTTGTGGAAACTCAGCCTCACCAGGACACATACAGGGACATTGGGTTTCTGCCCTATGTGTGTTTCCAGGACTGGCAGGAATAACCTTGACACAGGACCACAGTGGATAGGAACCTAGAGAAGGCAGTGGCCCCACCTGGGGTCAGGAGTGCTCAGGGAGGAGGTCTCAGAACAGCATGTGTGAGGACTTGGGGTGTGAGAAGGCCAGATGTGCCTCCCTGGAGGGGAGGGGCAGGGCTGAGGAGCTGAGAGGGGCTAGGGGACACTGCACTGCAAGCCTCACCTGATTGGCAGTCAGGCCCGAACCTCTGGGGATCTCGGCACTCCTGGCAGGCTGAGCCACTGAAGTTTTCCTATGAGTGCCTGAGTCAGTGGGGGCCTTCTGACACCCCCCTCCTGCCCTCCTCACCCTAACCCTACCTGGCCCTCACCTGGCACACACAGGTCCCATTCCCAGCCATGCCATCCAAGCAGGTCCCGTGCCCATTGCATGGGTTCTCAGCATTTCCAGGACATTCTGTGAACCACCCCCAAACTCAGCTCTGTCCCCAGAATTCTTCCCTTGGTCCAGACCCCAGGAGCTCCACCCAGTATCACATCTGGCTCCTCCCCAGGGCAGCCAGGGCTAGGAGCCATGCCTGGGAGGCGCTGGAGCAGAGGGGTCATAAGTGAACAAGGTGAGAGGGAGGGGAGGATGGGGCTGGGACAGGGGTGGGCAGATCAAGACAGTACCCGCCCCCATACCGTAACACTCGGACCCCCAGTAACCAGGGCAGCAGGCCTTCTGCACCACATCCTTCCAGCATTCCAGGCTGCAGCCACTCAAGGACATTAAAGAGTCCCCCAGCTGTACCTCGAACCTGGGAACGGAGGGTGGACAGGATGATATCCCTCACTGCAGCCTCCCACACTGGGTTCCAGGGCTCCCATCCCTCCACTCTCTTCTCTGCCTGACCTAGAGCTGAGATCAAGGCTTGCCACATAGTAGGTTCCCAGTAAACACCATCTGCCCCTCATGTTCTTCTTCCCCCCTTGCCTGCCTGTCTCTGCCTCCCTGGAGGGCGCAACAGATGGGGAAAAAGTGAGTCTTTGTCCTCACTTGCCAGCCTGCAGGGCCTCCCTGCCCTCTACTATCCTGAGGATGCTCCTGGAAGTGGGCAAGATTGGGGTGGGAGGTCCTTACTTGCACTCCTGGGATATCTTCTGTGGGAAATGCCGAAACCAGCCCGAGGGACACATTTGCTTCTTGATAGCAGCACACGTGGTGCAGGGTACATGAGTGACAAACTTGGTCTTCACATCACAACGTTTGGACCGCACCTGGGCCATGGATGGAGTGTGGACTGAGAGACCTGGACCCTGCACCCAGTCCTGACTCTGTCCTGGTTGCAGCAAGGCCAAGCACCCCTGCCTGGCAGGTTTCCATCTGGTCAGTGGGAATAAGCAAGGATGGGAAGGCCCTGAGAAACCTCCTTGTCACAAGTTCCTAATGCCACAGCATGTCCACAGCCCAGACACCTCCAAGTCTATCAATACGAGGAGAATCTTGCCATTTTGTTTTGCCTTAGCCCAACTCAGGTGAAGAAACTGAAGCCTAGGTTGGCCCTTGTCCAGTGTCACTCAGGGAGAGGGTGTGAATCATGGACTAGAACACAAACTCTTAGCCTCAAACTCATGCTTGCCTTTCACCTAAAAATAAACAGTAAGCTAGACACTGGTGGCTCATATCTGTAATCCTAGTTATTCAGGGGGCAGAGATTAGGAGGATCATGGTTCAAGGCCATCTCAGGCCAAAAAGTGAGAAGCTATCTCATAAAATACCCAACATACACAAGGGCTGGCAGAGTGGCTCAAGTGGTAGAGTGCCTGCCTACTAAACGTGAGGCCCTGAATTCAAGCCCCAGTACCACCAAAAAGAATAAATAAACAACATGTCTGACACTGAGCCAACAACTGCTTGGGTCTCATATGCCAGCCCGACCTGAGGACTGGCACAGGTGGCACACTGTAAGAATACAGCGACTCCATCCTCCATTCACAGGCACTAGAAAGAGATGCAAGCTTTCAGCCATGCCCCATGGGGACTGGTCCTCTGCGCTGAGCATTTCCCCACATTGCTGATGAATGGAACTCTCCACTGCCCCAGGATCTGAGACTAAGAGTCCCAGACCAGAGAGAGGCTTGGCTCTTGGGTAAGCACAGCGTGCAAAAGGATCTGGCCTGTGTGCATTTGAGCTGAACAGCCATGGTTGACCAAGTCCTGACTCCAGGCCTGGCTCATAACCCCTCTCCGTCTCGTCCCCAAATGCAGGCACCACCCAGGGTCTAGGTGATCAATTGGGGAGCAAAGAGAACTCAGAGGATCCAGGCTGGGGGTCCAGGTGGTTTCCTGGGGCAAGTGATAATTGACTTGGGACTTGAAGGTTGCAAGAGTGTTGACCTGGGGCAGTGCTCTGGCTGAGGAGGGAGTAGAAGCAAAGGCTGGGAGCAGGAAAAGCAAATGTGACATGCAGAGTGGCTGGAGGAGAGGCTAGAGAGGGACTGGTGGCCAGGCTGGTGAACAGCCTTGAAAGCCTGAGTGAAACAGCACTGGGGGTGGCCCCAGGACTTGGTTTGTGTTTTAAATGGGCATAGAGAACAGAGTGGGGATGGGGAAAAGGTCATCGCCTAAGGATGGCCCAGCTAAAGCCACTAGGATAAGCTGGGGTAAGTGTTTAGGGCTCAGGTTGAAAACAAGAAGGGATCTGGCTTGCCTAGCTCCTGCAAGTCCACTACTGGGATTAACTGCCAGAAGCTGTAGCGCTGTCCTTTGGAGGGTGTAAAGGGTCAGAGGCAAGGTGCATGCTGATGGGGAAAGTTTGGGAGGCTTGGGGCATGGCCCAGAGAAACCAGGATGTTCTCATCCTGAAAAGTGCTGAGGATGCTACACTCCAAAGGGAGTGAGCCCAAAACATCCCTTTCCTAGAACGAGTTACAGATGTGTGGTTTCCCAAAGCAAGAGAAAAGGAGAAGTAGTGCTCCTGACTCTTTCTTCTGGTGAGCATGAGGGTCTCTCTGACACTGTGATTTGGCCTTTTCCTCTCACAGCTCTACAAAAAGGGAAGGTGCTCACGGCAGCCCCAGGGGCTGGCCTCGGGGCTGGATGCTGCAGTCTCATTCCCCACCCTGAGCCTCATCTTTTCTGAGTCAGAGAGAGCCTAGGAAATTGGGTAGTGTAGGAGCAGAGCAGCTACTCTCTCAAGGGCAAGGGCTTGGCTAGTAGTGGGCTCCCCTCAAGGCCACTTGGTCAGACAGGCAGAGCTACCAGTGTGGCCACCACTCTGACTCAGGGATCAGCTCTGAGAGGAAGGCTGGTCAGTCTTGGGTAAGGCTCAGGGAGGATAAGAGAGTGGTTTTCTCTCTTGGGGCAGAGCCAGGGCTGGGTGAAGCAGTAGGCAAGGGAGGACCCTGGAGGAAACTGGAGCATTGTTACTGTGTGTGAAGTGGTGATGGGTGGATAAGCAGTTGACAAATCAGCTCCTCTCCAGGGACCACACCCTAGATAGGCACTCAGGCTCTGCATCTGCCCAGCAGCCTGGAAGTTGCATCAACAGCAGAGCCTACAATCCTGCTGTTGATGCTGCAGGGTGGAGCTAGTGCTGAATCAGATTCTGTTCTTCCTAGGGCACCTCAGGACCTGCCAGAGCCAGAGCAGGTGCTCCTACCCCACTCCAGTTCATTGCTGAGTTTGCAATGCCTGCCTTCCATAGAGATGCTGCTGGGGGAAGCAGAGGAGACATAAAATACAAGCCTGTTAGTGAGATGGTGGAAGATCCTCCAAGCTGCAACCAGGATCCTAAGAATTTTCTGGGCTGACCACCCAGAACTCAAGTATCCTAAGAGAAGAAGGGCCCCCAAACTGCTCCCCCCCTACTCTAGATCAGAGCAGGAGGGGATAGGACTGAGTCCTGGCCAATGGCCCTCTCTCTCTCTGAACCCTGGCTTAAGACCACAGCTCATGTCCAGCACAGAGGTAGAGCTGGGTATAAGGCTGCCAGATAGACAGGTGCTAAGTCCCTCCCTCAGGAAGCCCTCTGTGCCTCTGCTGCTGGAATATGCCTGAACCAAATCCTGCAGCTGCACCTTACTGGCTGTGTGATCCAGGGGTGTCCTCGCCACAGGAGGGCTGAGTGACTGTAAGTGTGAGATAAAGCCAGCATTGCTGCATCCCCATCCACAAAGACACCCCACTCTCTTCCCCAGCCCAGGCTGACTGAGCCCCAGCCCCAGAATTGCAGACTTTAGGGTGCTCAAAACTATAGGTCTGATGAGAAAAAACCTCCAACCTGAGGCTTCTCGTTGATACCTGTCTGCATTACTCACAATATAAGGGGGATACCAAAGCCTGTTAAATTCCCTTGCATTGTACACATGGGAAAACGGAGGCAGGAAGCAGGCAGGAACCTACCTGCAGGGCTCAGCACAGCAATTCTTAGCCTTTCCATCATCACTCTCACCTTCTCTGCCTCCCATCCCCTCTTGGGCTGGCCATGGAGTGAATGAAAACCTCCTCATCACCTTTCCGAGGAACCACAGGGAGTACAAGACAAAGAGCCCAATGGTGGCAGAGATCCTGGATCACTGTGCTGGGGGTGGAGCCTGGGCAAGGCTTCCCCTCACTGGACTTTACTCTGCCCATTAGTGCCGGGGACAGCAGCAGCTCCCCCAAGAAGTAGATGAACTTGGCCTTACAGGGGAAAGTTCCCTTGCCTGGAGGCAGATTCCAGCCAGAGGACTCTGAAGCCCTTCCCCAAGCTCGAGCAGAAGCAACATCCCTCCCATAGGACTGGGTGGACCCTGCAGCCAGGCAGCCATAGGGACTGGCCATATGTGCCATAGGGACCATGGCACAGCTGCACATGGGCCTCCTGTCTGCTCACTAGCATGCCTGTATAGGGAATCACAGACTGTGGTTTGGAGCACAGCTCCAGTGAGTGGAAATGGCCTGTCGCCATCACCCTTGGGCCTGGGCTTCCTCACTAGAACAACAGGACGTGCTTGCTCAGAGATTGGGAGTTCTCAAGGGGTCAGGCTGATCAGTGGCAACTCTGCAGCTTGAAACTGTTTATCTCCAGGCAGGCTTGGGGTTGGACACAGGCACACGCACATCCATACGTGTATCCCATGTGAGGTTTTCAGTTTGTAGGTCCCATGGAGGTTGATGGTGATCTTATCTCAAATCTCCAGGTAAGGGCCACAGAGACCTGGGCCTCAGTCTGGCCAGGGAGGTCAGGAGGATTGGGCTGGCTCTGTCCCCCTTCACTTATCGGCTGGGGAACCCTGGGACAGCTACCCATACCACACAGCTGGCTGGGCAGACACAGAGGAAGGCAGACAGAGGCAACCCTGCGCCCCAGGTGACCAGACACAGACCTTGGCCTGGGGAGGTGGGTACCACAGTTTAGCCACCTGGGCCAGGACAGAGGTCAGACAGGGTCCAGCTGTTCAGGTATCCCCAGACCCATGCCTATCTATGCACAGTCCTTCCCTGCTCCTACCACTGGCTGGTGAGCCCCGAATACCACGACCCCTACAACTGATTTATACTTACCTTCTGCCCCCTGGTAACACTGGAGCCCACCAGGCAGAAGGCCAGGAGGAGGCAGAGCGGGAGGAGGCTCCGAGGCTCCGCCATGGTCGGCAGGGAGCTACTGTCCAGGACAGAAGTTGCAACAGCCGGCAGCTGGGGAATGAGCTCAAAGAGGCAGGCACGGGACAGGCAGGCGGGATGGGCAGTCGCCTTAAAAGTGCCCCGCCAGCTCACCCCCACAGGAACCCACCAGGATTTCCTCCTGCGTATCAGCAGCCTGCAGGCGGAAGGGAAGGCGCTGGCCACTGACCCCTGTGTGGATGACCTGGGCCCCTGTTCAGGGCTTGCCAGACCACGATCACCACTCCCGGCACTGTGGTCTGGAAGCCCAAGCCCACCATTAGCCACAGGGTCTGGGCTGTAAGGGAAGTTCTGAAGTAAATTCAAATGCAAATGTAACAACTCACCGCCCCCATCTGCCCAGTCAGCACTTTTCATTCAGAACCTCTGGTGTTCTGGTTGCTGCACTGCGAGGTAGGGTAGCTCCTGATTCTGTGTCTGTCTCTGTCTGGACCTTTCCTACTATTAGGAGAGGCAGGTGGACTCCTGTCAGGTACCATTTAAACATAACAAAACTTCCTCTCCACATCTGTTCCATCCAGCCACTCCTCCAGCCAGTCTTAACGCCCTGCCCTGATCCCACCTCTACTCTGCAGCTCTACCCCAGCTGCACCCCTGCCCCACTTCCCACTCCACACTCTGATCCCTCTCCATATCACCTGCAGTCTCTGTGATGCAACCCCACTCTATTCTAGCTGCCAGGGTGTTTCTCTCCTTCGTAGTGAGCTCCCTCCCGGTGCTGGTGGTTCACACCTGTAATCCTAGCTACTCAGGAGGCAGAGATCAGGAGGATCATGACTGGAAGACAGCCCAGGCAAATAAAAAGTTTGTGAGACCCTATCTCAAAAAAAATTCATCAAAAAGGGCTGGTGGAGTGGCTGGCTCAAGGTGTAGACCCTGAGTTCAAACCTCAGTACTGCAAAAAAAAAAAAAAGTGAGCATTCATGCTGCTATCCTGATTGTCACAGCTGGCTCCTGTTTTAGGTCAAAAGTGTCAAAAACATTGGTTTGGATTGAGCTCCAGCACAAGGTCCAGCTGACCAGACCAATATGAATTCAATCACAGCACTGAGTTTAACTGTAACCAGTTAAGCTGTAACCTCTTAAATTGTCTTCTGGCCTCACTTTTGTTTTCTATAAATACCTCCTGATTGCAACTGCTGTTCTCAGAACCTCTTCTGGTTCTGAAGGCTGCCTGATTCAATTGTTTTCTTTGCTCTAATTAACATTTGATTTAATTAGTCTTTTAGTGTTTGTTTTCTTTTTTGATTTAATTAGTTTAAGGTTGTTATTGTGGTGCTGGGGATGGTTCAGGTCTCATACCATACTCTAGGTGCTGTATTGCCTCTGAGTTACAGCCAAGCCCAAGTTTCTCCTTTTTACGTAAGCCACCAGCTCAGATAGCTCCCAGGCTGCCTGCCAGGTGGGCCAGGACCTGATTTCATCACCTCTGGCACTGACCACCAACTGGCTTAGCTTATTTTCTGTCTCCCCCTGGAGTGTCAACTGTGGAGACAAGGGACTGAGCCTGACTGGTACAGAGTAGATAGTACAGATGCGTAGAATGAAAGAATGAATGAACGTGATTACTTTCATTGTCTTTGTTACTGGTACAGAAACTATAGCTCAGAGAGCTTAGGCATCTTGTCTGAGGTAGCTCAGCTAAACCTGTACTTCAGATCAGCCTCCCTTGAGTAGGAGCTGTCCTCATGGACCCAGCTGGGGACTACAGTTCAGGACTGGGTGTGGTGAGTACTAATTGTCACTACCCTGATTTCCTTCCCTTCCTTTCCTCCCTCTCCCTCTCTCCCTTCTCTTCCTCTTCTCTCCCTCTCCCCACCTCCTTCTTTTTTTTTTTTTGAGGTGAGAGACTTGCTGTGTAGCCCACATTGGTCTTGAACTGACAATCCTACTGCCTCAGCTGCCTGAGTGCCGGGATTACAGGTGTGAATCACCACTCCTAGATATATCTTTGTATAAGTAAGTGCTTTGCCACTGAGCTACATCCCAGTCCTACTATCCCTGGTTTTGGTGGATATCATGGAGATGGAGAGAGGCAAGCATTTCCTGGTTTGGCCATTTGTAAAGGAAAGGCCTGGCTCAGAAACTACTCACTTGCTCCTTCTCCCCCTCAGCGTCCTCTACCCCATCAGCTTGGAGGGTCATTGGGTTGAACTTTGAGGTTTGACTAGGTGGTGCACTGCGGGTGGGAGAACTTTTTCAAGCAACTCCTTCTGCCCCTTGCTCCTTCCCCCACCCCCAGTCTTCTTGAGGGCAGCAGATCCTCCAGGCAGGATCCCCACTCCATTGTCACCAAAGGAAAAGTGGCAGCAGAGCAGGCCCTGGAGGTAGGTTGGCCATTCCACTTATCTCTCCATAACCCTGCCTGGCCCAGATGAAAGGTGAGTGGGGAGCAAGGCCCTGCTCTAGCAATAGGAAAGAAGTGGAGGAAGGGTAGGGCCCAGGGTTAGCTCTCAAAGAAACCCAAGGTCCTAAGGTAGGGCTCCCGAGGCAACCTGTATCTCTGTCATGGGAACAGAGAGGGACAGGCGATGTGTGTGTGTGTGTGTGTGTGTGACAGAGAGGGACAGGCGATGTGTGTGTGTGTGTGTGTGTCTACCAACTGGGTCTACCTCCCGTTTCCACTCAAGAGTCATCTTGGTGAGACCCCTGATGCCCCAGGTGCCAGCAATCTGACTCCGGGCCTCATCCCCACAGCAGGCTAAGCTTCAGGTGGGTAGGGCTGAGGTGCAAGACAACCTGAGACTGTCGCAGAGGGGCAGTCTGCTGTGACAAAGGTGCCCTGAGCTTTCTGGATTCTTCTCATTTGCCCCAGTCTCCTGGTTTGGCCACAGCCCAGCGTGGTCCTGTCTAGCAAGGTCCCCTGGAGAGCTGCTCTATCCTCCTCCCTCACCCACACCTTGCCCTTCTGTCTCCAGGGCACCCTCACTGCCACATGCCAACTATACCCTGGGCTGAAGACCTGCCCCACCCCCCCCAGCACCCCAGTGACCCTTGCCCTAGAAGACCAGACTGTGCCAAACTTTGCTTTATTGGAATGGAGAAAATAGGCAGCAGGAATTACGCTTGGTGCTGACAGATCTAGGTCCCCTTCACCCAGCCCCTCTCAGCCCCAAGGCCTGGGACTCCTCACTGGGCTCCCCGACTTGTCTGGACCAGGGGAGGCCTCCACTTTGGAAAGGCGCATGGGGTGGGGGCTTCCCACATGCATTCTGCTACCAGCTTTGTGATTAGCAGCAAATGCCCACAACAACAGCAACAGCAACAGCAACAAAGGACTGGACTTGACACTTCAAGAAGGACGTGTACAGTTGATCAGATCCACAGCGCCACATGTTAACAATGGCACCACAACAACAGACAGGATACTGGTGTGCCTGGCCTCCCACTCCAGGGCCTAGGCAATACACCACAGGAGGCAGATGGCACATGGACACCCTGCAGGGGGCCGGCACTCTCCCTCCCAGCATTGGAAAGAATTAACCGAACACACATGTTCACATTCTCTGTAGGGACAGTCAAGTTAAGATACCAAAGGGAGGGGAGAAAACACTTTTAAAAGAACAAAGAAAGGCTGCTTCCCTGCTCTGAACAGGCACCACGCCAGACATAGCAGGCAGCAGGGCTGGCTGTGGCTTGCACTAGCCAGTGAGCTCAACAGGCAGCTCCCGGCCACACAGGGCCTCCCACTGGCGGGCCAACAGTGAGATGAGTTTTTCTCGGCTCTCAGCACTGGGGACAAATACTTGCCACTGGACCTCACGGCCCTGGCCGGCTCTGGCAGGGCCACCTGGCACCTCCCCAAAGTGGTCCAGGGTGACATTGCCCATGACGTCATGGCCTTGTACATCATCAAATATGAGGGTGAGGGCCTGTGGGTAGGGCTGGTAGCCCATGAGCACACGGTCCAGGTCCCGGACGCGGCGGCCATCATCAAGTCGGTACCTGTCCCTCTGAGGTGGTTCTTTGGCAAACTCAGGCAGTGGGTAGTGGATATAGTCCTCATCCAGGAGAAAGATCTCAGCACTGGTGAGCAGGAGTGTCTTGGGGCGCAGCGGACCCCTGCAGCGCCCAGGTGGTGGTGGGTCCACCTGGAAGGCCTGTACATACAGCAGGATGCTGAGGGCCAGAGCCTTCTCTGGGTCAGCAGTCTTCTGTGCCACAATGTATGTCAGGTCCCCAACCTCCTCCTCGCTAGGGTAGGTGAACTTGACCCTGCTTGAGTGAATCAGCTCATAGTTCTCCATCTTCCCTGCAGAGAGAGGTGTCATCAGGGCTATGGCCTGGAACTGGCCCATGGTGGGCCTGGAAGTACCAGTGGCCACACCGCTCACAGAACCCATATGAGAAAGGCAGGTGAGGACACTCCAAGCATCTAGGGCCAACTCTTGAGATGTGTCTGCTGAATAGGCAAGGACTGCTGGGAGGAGACTCCCGCCATGGAAAAGGCCCACAGAAAACCCACACCAGCTAAGTGGGCAAAGGGAAAAAGTGAGGGAGACGGAGGCAGAGAGGGCTCTGGAGCACCGAAAGGTGCTCTGGAGCTTTTGCTGTCCACTCAGGTGCTGGTCTACAGTCTGAGCTGAACAGGGTACCTGTGCTCTTGTTCCCAAACTCTGAGTAGAAGTCTTTGTCAACAGGCTCCGGCGAGGGTGTGCGCTCCAGTGAGGACAGCACAAGCATGAGGTGCTGAAGGAAGCAGTGTGTCAGGTAGCTATCGCGCGTCAAGCATGTGACCACCTGCGTTGGGGAGGAGCCTGCGAAGGAAGGGGCTGGTCATGGTCACAGTTTGCCACTCCCCCTGCCAGGTCTCTGCCTCAGAAAGCCAGGGCCAGGAAGGCCCATGTGGGAGAGCAGTCATATCTCAGGCAGGAAGGGCTGAGACATTTTTCTGGAAGTGGCTACAGAGGCGTTAGGGAAAGAGCTTAGCTTTCTCTTCAGGAAGTATGAGTCAGAAACATCCTGCCCCTGAGGCCAGGGTCCACTCTACTCTGTCCGGATTGGCACTCCCCATCTGCCCTTCCCCCTCTCCCCACTGCCCGTAGAGCATGAGTCCTGCAATCTCAGCAGTTCCTGAAGCTGCTTCTGCCCACCCAATTAGAGGGCTTGTAAACAGACATAACTCTGCTGATGATAATGCACCCACATCTGGAAGGTAGGAGCCCATTAGTGACACCGGCCTTCACCCAACACAGGACAAAGCGCAGCAGGTACTCACCTGTCAGCCGGAAGTACTGGTCAAAAAGGCCAACGTTAACTGACTGCAGGTCGCTGAGTTTGAGTACAAAGCACTGGGAGATGTGGAAGGGACTGTTGTTATAGTCAGTGTTTTTCTGATGCCAGAAATCTACAATGGAAAGAAAGAAGCTGAGGGTGGCACTGGCTGTGGAAGGTGAGCACGAAGGTCTCAGGTGGGCAGATGTCCAGCAGGAATGAGTCACCTGACAGACAGCTGCCACCTCCTCCATGCATACAAGGCCTCATATGCAACTTGGTCTAGGTCTAAGCTTTGGCTAGCTCAGTGGAGTCAGCAGGCCAATGGCTGAGGCCACCAATGAGGCCCAAAGGGCTGTGGAATCCCTGCTGGTCACAGCCAGTGCCCAAGCACTTGCCGCACCATGGTATGTTTACATCTGGCCTTAGGACCTCTGGACAACTGCAGGAGGGAAGTGCTGCAATCATCCCTTTCCTCAGACGAGGGACTCAGCCCAGAGCAGCCAACGCCCTGCTGTCTGAGGCCACACAGCTGGCCCTCAGCCGGCCACAACATGCACTTGGATCCCCAGGCCCAGTGCCTACCCTGCAGTGGCTCTGAGAAGTAGCGGCGGAGGCCATCATGCAGCACGAAATATACAGCCTTGGTGGAGAGCAGCACGCAGGCAGTCACCTCCAGTCCTGGGGTCTGGTAGAACACCACTGATGACCACAAGAGGTGTCTTAGTTCCTCATTTTCAACCTAGACACAGAAAGGCTGGGTGTGGAAAGGGGCACACCTTCCTTCCTCCTAGACAATGCTTGAAAACACTCCCAGCAGGGTACCTCCTCCCCACCACCATCTGTAAGTCCCCCTAACGTGGTGACCTGCACACACCAGACATGCCCATGGCCTCAGATTCAAGAGGCAGGAAGCTCATCTCATCAATGTTTCTATAAACTCAGAGCAGAGAAGAGCTGGGGAGTGGGAGATGGGCATGTGGGGAGGGTTCCTAGGCCAGAGACTACACAGCGGCAGGTGGTGACACAGGGACAACTGGCTTGATGAGCAGCTCAGGATTTCCCTACCCACATCCTCAAACCTACGAGGCAGCTGAAACTGAGGACCATGTCAGAAAAATCTGAGGACTCAAGGCTGATCCCATGCAAGCCCTGCCTCATCCTCAGAACTTACTGGTGTCACAGCAGTACCCACACCTCTCTTGCCACACTTCCCTAAGACCAGCACATGGGCCACTACCTCAGCAATGCTGCTGTGGAAGAGCTCAATGATGGCGCTCCCCTGCAGGCTGGCGATGTGCCGGAGTGACGGGCAGACGGGCAAGTGTGAGGGGATCTGATTCTCCTCTGAGGTGGACTGGACCAGATGCTCACTTGGGTATTGAGCAGGGGCCTCAGCTTGTACCAGGGCCTCTGCTGGTGCTTGAGGCAGGATCTCTATTGGGGCTTCCTCTGGGCCCAAAGCTGGAGCAGGAGCCAGGGTTGGAGCTGGAGCTGGAGCTGAAGCTGGAGCTGGATCCAGGGCTGGAGCTGGGGTCTCTGCTGGGCCTGGAGCTGGAACCACCACTGGAGCCAGGGCTGGAGATGGAGCCTCTGCTGGGGCCTCATGGGGATTTTGGTCATCACTGTATCCCCCAATGCCCCAAGAAATACATTATTAATATGTGGACCCTATGGAGATTTACCTCATCTGCATACCCTCAGAGTGAAGACTGTCTGTGTACCTTGTGCCATCCCTGGGGTCAGCTGGGGTCTTCATCACCAGGTTTTTTTTTTTTTTTTGGCAGTACCTGGGCCTTCAGCTTGCTAGGCAGGTGCTCTACCTCTTGAGCCACTCCACCGGTTCCTTTTTGTGATGGGTATTTTTGAGATAGGGTCTCATGAACTATTTGCCTGGTTTGGCCTCGAACTACCATTCTCCTGATCTGTGCCTCCTGAGTAGCTAGGATTACAGGCGTGAGCCACTGGTGCCCAGCTTATGACATTTAATTTTTTGAACTGACATTAGGTCTTTTCTTTTCAGTACTGGGGTTTGAACTCAGGGCTTCAGCCTTGGTAGGCAGGTGCTCTACACTTGAGCCACTCTGCCAGCCCCATCACCAGGTTCTTTATGGGGAAAAAACAGAAGAAAGAAAGTGCCCAGTACTTTCTCTTGGGCAGGAGATAAGCAGGAAGAAGCAGAGCAGGTCATACCAGGACTGAGATACCTGCAGCAGAGGCTTTGGCCCATGGACTGAAAGCTCATTTTGAGAAGGTGGCAGAGGTATTAGGTAAAGCCACTCTGGGGTCCAGAGTGCTGATCCAGGTGCCCAGGGTTGGGACCTGGGTGTGCAGGTGCATGCAGAGGTGAGAAGCAAAATCTCTTAACTGCCCCTCAAGTTTGTTTTTCGGGTGTCCTTAGCCCACTCAACCACCACTGCACATGGCCAGGCTGTCAATGGTCTGCTCCAGTAAGCTTGAAGTCACGGAGGTTGGGGGGGTTCCCTGTACCCAGCCTTATAGGACCATGCCTGTTGAGGGGGTGTCCTTTGGATGTCATCCTCTCAACGGACCCAGTCCAGCTGAGATGCCTTGGGCTGTGGTACTGGATTTGGCCAAATACCCCCGAGGTCCCTGGACTGCTGTGCTGGGGCAGGGATATGGCTGATAGGGGTCAGGTTTCTACATGTACTTGCAGGGCTAGGGAAGACATGAAAGTGAACACAAGGTGCTACCACTAAAGCCTCACATAAGAGGAGGTGGGATTTGGATATGGCCACACAGGGCCACCTCCTACACAAGCTGCTGTCTCAAGCTGGGCACAAGATTTAGGCTGGAAGAGGTGGGGAGTCTTTTGAGATCATCAGCTGGGGGCTGGCTATAAGGAGGAAGCAAACCCCAAGAGATACTGAGGTGAGTCAGGGGTCAGGACAGGGTCTCTGTTGTCTGCCAGAAAGGAAGAGATCATAAGCTAGGCTGTCTCTTAGGCGATAGGAGGGAAAGCCAAGAAAGCAACGGAAGGCAGAGACATCCACAAGGACATAGGATCCTTCATACTGGTCTCATCTACTCTACCCCAGGTGGCCCTGAAGGAAACCCAGGAGGGAGTTCTGGGGAAGTCAGGCTCTGTGAGACAGGAGTGGTGAGAAGAACAGGAGGATAGGGCTGCCAACTTCTGCCCTCTCAATACCTCAGTCTCCCCAGAAGAAAAGGGCCCTGGAAGCGATGACCCACACAGTCCAGACACTCCTCCCAAAGTACATCCAACCCAGTCCTTCCTGAGAAGGGCTTGTGGCTCCAACAGGGCAAGCTTGGGAGCTCAACTCAGAGATGGGAAAAGCTGTCAGCTGAGGACTGTTCAACCAAGGGTTAAGACCTCTGGGAGTAGGGGAGGCAGGTGATGCCTATAGGCCATGCTTGGGTTCATGGGAGCAGAGTGCCAGGGCCAGGGTCAAAGTGATGGCTCTCTATTGGGCAGCCAAGGTGGAGGGCAGCTCTCTTGACCTGTCTGGAATGGGTGGCAGGAGCCTGGACTGACCTGCCTTTGTGAGAGGACAGCTTTCCTGGGCTTCTTCTACAGCTGGTGGATAAGGCACCAAGAACAGTGTTGAGGGCAGTCAGGGGCTGGGAGAAGCTGAGGGGCAGGAGAGTGACCACTAATTTGCAGATGCCCACAGATCGTATCTGTGCCAGTCCCACATCCCCAGGCCCTGAGAGCCTGCACTTGATCTCACCTGTCCCTGCCCTCAGCTGGCTGGCCATCCATGAGAGGGCTCTGGGACCTGGGCCCAGTTGCAGGGGTCTTGGCAATGACCACAGTCTTCAGGTCTTGCAGTGAGGCCCGCAATTGATTGTAGATGCGCAGGAAGTGGAACTTCTCGTGAGGCAGCACAAAGATAGCAGTGACAAAGCGGTACCCAACGAGCAGCTCAAGCACATGGCCGTCAGCAAAAGCACCCCGTGGCTGGGTACAGCTGCGTGTGGGGTCCAGCAGCACGGTGGAGAGTGGCACCCGGCTGAGCTTGAAGCTGTTGCGGTTGCGGCAGTTGTGGGTGCCACGGTTGGGCATGGGGTTGAAATCAGCCTTGATGACGTTGAGGTGCTGGGGTGTGAGCAGCAGCCAGTAGGGAATGGCGGCAGACTTGACAGCCTCGGAGGGTGCACAGCAAGAGCGCCGCACAGCCGAGCAGAGCGTGCAGCTGGCCCACTCGATGTTGCCTGAGTAGTCCCCGGCAGCTGTCTGTACCATGCGCTTGTCACTGTAGACCAGGTAGACAGGGAAGCAGCCCTGGCTGCGCTCCTGGCAGCCGCCAGCTACCTTGTAGAAGGTGAGCAGCTGGCGCAGAAACTCCTGCAGGCTGGTGTGGCTGCCATAGAGGATGGGGCTGCATAGCATGGCCATGTGCTGTGGGGCGAAGCAGGAGCGCAGGTCAGCGTGGAATTCGTGCAGGTTGGCAGCGTCCGAGATGATGAAGAGAGTGTTCTCACTGTGCCGCACCTTGAGCACCAGACACAGCTCCGGCATGAGGAAGCCAAACTCAGTGAGATCGCCGTGTGGGAAGCAGAAGACAAAGCGCAGGGACGACAGGATATGCTGGCTACTACCTCGGGACTCCTGGTGCGGGATCTCAAAGACTGCAATGCCGAAGTCAGTGAGCACCAGGCAGGCGGCAAACTGGCGGATGCTGCCCTGCACATGGATCAGGAAGCACCACAACACCTTGAGAATGCGGATGTGCTCCAGCAGGAAGTCCTCGTCTGCGCCCAGGGCCCACTCCAGCGCCAGGCGCTCTTCCTCGGCCTCCTCATCTTCCTCCTCCTCCTCATCCTCTTCCTCCCCCTGGCCATTGCCTTCCTCTTCCTCTGCATCTGCATCTGGAGGTCCCATTTCAAAGTAGCGGTTCTCAGTGACATCTTCCTCATCCTCGTCATCTTCCTCCTCCTCGCCTTCCTCCCCCTGGCCCTCTTCCCGTTGGTTGGCGGCCTCAATCCAGGCAGGCAGTTGCCGCTCGATGGCCTGGCGGATCAATGTGCTCAGGCGCTGGATGAAGTCCTGGTTGGTGGCCGTGTAGCCAATGCAAGTAAAGGGCAGAAAGATGATCTGGCCAGACCCAGGTACCACCTGCACTTCCGGCTCTGCATGCTCTGGACTGTGTGGGGAGAGACTAGGTCAGGGACACTGTACCCAAAACCTGCTGCTGCAACCCTGACTCCAAGGGACCAATCTATGAATCTCCTGAGCCTCCTACACAGCTAAGATTGTCTCTAGAACAGTGTGGAGCTAAAGTGCTGGCAGACAGAAGGTTAGGTGACCAATCTGAGTCCAGACTTTCATGAGCTCAGACACAGCTGTCCACCACAGCCCTGCTGAGACCACACTGGCTCCCACAACAAAAGTACTACAAAGACTTCGGTCATTCAGATGCTGCCATTAGTCCTATAGGCAATGAGTGCTCCATGACGTGAACCTATCTGTTCCTAAAGACTCCTTTCGAGGGCACCCAGGGGACCTCCAGGGGCAGGGAAGGAGGCTGGGGTGAGTCCTAGAACCTTCATGTCTAAATTCTACCTCCTCCCGCCTACTTCAGCCCTCACATGGGGAACATTTTGGAAATGCTGCTGTAAAGGGTCAGGGAACTAATATTTCAGGATTTGTGTGCTGCCCCTATCTACATAGTCTTGTTTAAACAGACATCTAAGGATATAATTATCATTCTTAGCTCACAGACTGTACAAAACAGACTGGACTAAACTGGCTTTGATCTGCCAGGATAACAAGAATCAGGCAAAGTTTAGGGAAAACAGGCCAGAGTCTGTCTAATCTGTGCTTAGTTTAAGAAAGAAATAGCTCTGTAGGACTTTTGTGAACAGACTGTTAAAATCTAGCTGATTACCCCAGCCTGTAGGTAAGAGTGTGCAGCTTGGCCATGCAGCCTGGTCCACAATACCTCTTGACCTCTTCCTTACCTTGCACCACCAACAGCTCCCGGCACGTCTCTTAAGTCATCAGAGGCTGCCTAATAAAAGAAGGAAATGCAGTCAGCCCACGTGCTGCAGTTATTCCCTGGTACTACAGGGTACTGGAACCCTGAGATGCTGCCTGTGGAGGTACCTTACCCCTCCTCCCCCTACCACTGCACTCTGGGATGCATGGTGTAGGGTAGGGCCCAGGGAACCTGTTCAGCTAGTTATCCTGCCAGCACATAGCAGGGCTTGCCTTCCCACTCGTCTATCTGACACTAGCCCACACTCCCAACCTCAGGCAAGAGCCTGTCACCACTGTCATGGTGTCTGGCATCCAGGGCTCCTCGTACTTCCCAATGGCCAGGTCTATGGTCCACCAATTTGGTCTGGACCTAACTGGTTAGCAGCGCACAAGGAGCAGAGATATGGCAGGTATGGTGAGGTCTCCACCACTCTATGCACACTAGGCAAGACTAGGGCTTGGGAACCTTTTGCTGTGTGACCCCAGGAATGGAGTGCTAGGCACAGACAAAGACTTAGCAAACTGTCCCAATCTCACAAGGCAATAATCCTGGGCTGTACAGACGGATGGGACCGGGAGGGGGTCAGGCACCAAGCATACAGCACATGAGCAACTCTCACTTTCCTCTTCTCTCTTTCCAGGACACAGAGATAGGCCCTGGAAGCCTGAGAAGCAGCCACAGAGAAGATGCCAGAGTCATACTGTCCCAGGCTACTGGGGTGACGTGTGGGAAGGGGCAGAGTAGCCCCATGGAGGCAGAGAGAAGTACTCCCCTTGAACTGGGCAGTATGCTCATGTGGGCTCAAGGGTCACCTGTTCCCCCTGTCCCCCAGAGCCCAGTGAGAGAGCAATGCCTATTCCCATGCTGGGGAGGGGAGGGACAGGTTGAACAGAGACTCTAAACCACTCAGTTTGTCAAGACTCAACTAGAGACACATCCAAGAGAAAGACTGTGTGCCAAGCAGAGCACACAAAGAAACCCTGGCAGCATCTACCACACTCCAACCAGGCCACTTCTACTCAGGCAGCAGAACTGCCACAGAAGAAAAGGTCCCTAGAAGCAGGCAAGGGTGTTACCTGTCCTGCAGGGATGGACTCCAAGGAGTCAGAGCAGCCCCGGGCAATGGGCCGGTCCTCAGGAGTCAGACTGTCTGTGGATGAGAGGCTGCTGGCCAAGGCCTCCTCCTGCACGAACATGATCCCTGCAGAGAGATGGGGTGGGCGGGCGGGCAAGCGGAGAGAGCAGCTATTCAACAAGGGGGCTGGGCCTTGGGCTACTGGTATGGCTGGGGGCTAGCCAGACCCCAAAACCATCATCCGGGTTATAGAAGAAATGACAAAGCTGAAATCCTCAAAAAATTCAAGCATGAACCAATGACTGCTCCTTTAATTTTAGGGCAGGGAGAGGCTTTCTGAGCACACATTCAAAGGAAGAAGCTGCTAAGTACGAAAATATAAACACCAAACCTCTAGATGAATTTTAAAGACTAAGATAAGGCAAAGCCAAATGCAAAGAGAAAAAAGTACTTGTAATATTTAACCAAGATTTATATTATATCTTTAATCTATAAAGAACTGTTACAGATTACAAAACCAGGAGGGGTAAAAACCCCATCAAGAGACTGCAAAGAACATGAGATGTAGAATTAGAAACTGATACAATGTATGAAAAGGATGCTTTTCCTCTCTAGCACACAAAGTTGAAATAGGAGACCAGTTTGTCTCTCTCACTTTGGCAAAGGTCAGACTGTTCAGCTTAGCCCAACCAAACCGGGCAGAGGGGGGCACTGGGGTGCAAGCTGGCCCACCCATCAGAAGAGTAGTTTGGCGATATGTTCATCAACAGCCTTAAAAGTGTTCACTCCAGGAGCATTGTTCCAGGAAAGGAGTAGATGTGGCCCCTATGCCCTGATCAGACATTTCTGCAGGGCTCACAAATCTGCAGAACACAGGCTCCATCCCCAGGAGGCCAGACCTTGCAGGCTTCAGTTTCCTCCAGGACTGCTGGGTACAACTGGAAACAGCCTGCACCAACCAGCTTGTTTCTTACAGGGCATCCACTGATGCCCCAGGGCCACCTCCCATGAACAACAGCATTGACTCAAGACCTCCAGAAAAGCATGGGGCTTAAAAACTCTACAGAGGCTGTTTTATGAATAGAGTCTGTCTGGACTCGTTACTTCACTTCAGTCCACAGACTGGTTGAGGTGAAAGCCTTTTTAAGCATGCTCCAAACTGCAGCTAGCTGGTTTAGAGGAGTGCAGGTCTGCCTCCACAGTCTGGCTTTGCCACCAAACAGTCACCATGGCCCAACGAAATGACCCAGAGCCTCATAGGGCATGAGACTCTGTACAGTTCAGCTGCTGCCCACAACAGGACAACTCACACAGGCCAGCTCCTTTGCCCAAGACCAGGCATCCCCACAAAGCAAAGCAGCAGAGGCTCTGCAAGGCAGGAAGGGTGGCAAGCACACAGCCACGAACAAAGCGCCTCCAGGGGACCCACTTGCTGCTGTTCTTTTCTGGAATCCACCCTCTCCCACTGACACGTTCAAATCCTACTCATCCTTTGAGACTCACCTCTGATACCACCTCCATTCAAACCTCTGCTCCAGACCTTCTACAAAGACTCCAAGTCATACTACTCTGAAAACCCTTGGGGATACAGTTTACCTGCCAAGTGGCTCCACGATCCTCAGGGCACTGTCTAGAACCCCCTATTAAAGGATTAGGGAAGGGGGAGCCCTTCCTAAACACATTTTTTGAGCAAGAGCAGTGCTAAGCGCTTTCCCTTCCCCAGCATTAGCTCATGCATGCCTCTCATTATTTACCACATTTCATCAAATCTAAGATGCATGGATGTGGTGCCATCTTGGTCTTAGCAGGTGTCCACAGGTTTTTCCCCGATTCCATCACGAATACCAGCTGGCTGACAGCAACTAGGGGACGCCACTGACTGAAAGATGCATCTCAATATCAGAGAAGTCACAGGGTAGAGACATGTGCATCTTAGAATCGATGAAGTAGGGTGAACCCACTTTATAGTTGAGAAAACAGCTTCAGAGAGGCTACAAGTTGCTTGAGATCATACAGCCACAAAGTTGGAACCTGAACTCAGCTGCCTGCTCCCAACCACCTCTCTACACACCCTTCACTCAGCCCAGGGACTGGGCTGGAGAATCAACTCTGACATTTTGCACACTGGTCCCTGTCAATCACAATCCTCCATGGCTCTGACAGTTGGCTAATAGCACCTATAATGACCAGAGGTCTGGTGTTTTCTGGACAGCATACCCTTCAGGCAGGCTCCTGAGTGCCCCGTTTATTCACAAACATGATCCCCTGGTACAGATCAGGCTGGGAACAACAGGCATAGGTTAGCAAAGCTGCTCCCACAGGGGAGAAATCCCTGCCCATTCAGGCCAGCTCCAGTAACACACAGCCAAACACATGCATACGTGGGTGCCTCCACATTTGTGAGACAAAAAGCAGCACTTTCTTGCCACTACCCCCACCCCCAAGCCTTGTTTGGACATGAGGAAATGTGGACAGGGACAGTCTGTCCATTTCCTTCCTGGACTATGGCCTGCGCAAACAAGTAGTCAGAAAGGGCCACTCAGCGAATGAGATAAGGGACATTGAGAAGTCCTCATATAGGAGTTTGACCTTTTTCATTTGTCACCCAAAGGAAAGAGATGTGCACACAAAGACATCCACTGTAGTTTTATTTATAAGAGGTGCAAATCTGGGACAATGTCTCAACGTCCAGTGACTGGGAAGGGGAGACAGACTACAGAGCCACTCTGGGGAGTGCCCAGGGCAAGAGGGCAGGCAGAGAGAAGTGGTGGTAGATGAGGCCGGGCCCAGGCTGTTGCAAAGGCTTCACCACCTGCAGTTGCACCCCAGGGGGGAGACACCAGATCCCCTGCCCGCCTGAGGTCTGCTCTTCACCAGTTTATTCTCCACTTGTTCATCCACATACTCACTCACTCACTCATTAGGCCAATGCTGACCAAGAACAGGCTGTGTCCTTGGATTTGGAACCTTGGCACCTCCCTGTCTCCCAGAAGCCTGCGCCTCGGGCTTCCTCTGCAGGGCTGCCAGTGTTGTGCGGGCCCAACTTGGGGTTTGGCCTCAATGCAGGTGGCAGAGACAGGGAAACTTCCTCACAGAGATTCAAACCCTCCTTCCCTTTTATGTAAAAAATACAACCAAGAATTCTCAGCAAAGAGTTTGACAAAAGCAAATGGGCAAATTTACATACACCTAGCCCCACCGTTCCATTTTCATGAATTCTCTTCTGCATATTACAGCTGTGACCTCAGTGCACTATTCTGCATCGGGCTTTTGCCTTAACATAAACAAGTGTGTCTCCCTTCTTGCTGCCCAGTCTTCTCTCACTGATGGGACTGCCACAGAGGGTTCTGTGCCACAGCTGCCTCTCCCTCCCCTCCTTGGCGTGCATGTCACAACCTGGTGTTGCCAGCAGAGCACTTCCCCTTCCCCCAGCAAGTTATCCCTCTCCAAGAGAAGTTCTCCAGTGGGATCACCAGGTCAAGGGGTGGGAATGTGTTTCTGGCTCATGAAACCTAAGGTCAAACTGTTTTCCCAAGACCTCACACCAAGTTCTGCGTCTCCAGGAGCCTGGGCGGGCGGCGTTCTTTCCTGTGTGTCCCGAGCCTCAGCTCCACTCAGGACAGCACACCTGCCCCTCTTCCGTTGGGGCCGGGCCGGCAGACATGCTCATGGGACCTGCTTCACTCACTCATCTCCGAGGATGCCTGGGTTCAGAGGTGAAAGCCCTTTGAAAACGCTAAGACAGTGGGCAGATGAAAGGCATTGGTGTTCCATGGATCCACAGGGATGCAACCAGCCCATCTTGGTCCCAACGCAGTGTTTTAGGGCTGGGCTACACCTTGAGAGCCACAGAGATGAGGCAATGATAAAAGAAAGCTCCTCACATAGTGATCAAAGCTCCAGGCTCAGTAAAGTAACAATGCTTCCTACTAACAAGCAGCCAACCTGCCCAAGCTGCTTGCTTGGGGACTGGGTTCTCATGAGCCAACAGCCCTGAGCCTGCTCAAAGGGCAGCCTCAGAGCCCCACCAGACACCCCAAGGTATCCTACAGAAGCTAGATGAGGGTGTTAGAGCACGGAGTGTCCTCACTAAGCAAACAACAGCACTGAAATTAGGCCAGGTACCCCCTGCCATGGGCCACCTGAGGAGCCAGCCTATAGACAACACCACCCTCCCTGTGCCTGACCCTGTAGGAAGCAGGTACCAGCATCTCTCCCCCAACTCCGGCCCAGACAGGGGTCCCAGGCAGGCTGGAAAGCTCCACTAGGAGCATGAGCCATATGCGATTACCTTGGTTGGAGAGGATGGGCTGGGGCAGAGAGGCAGAGGTGGGAGCTGCAGTGAGAGGGGATCCACTGGGTCTGGCACAAGGGGCAGCTAAGAGCCGGGAATCCTCACCAACCTGAGGAAAAGTGCTCAAGTCAGCCCGAAAGAGAAGGAAAAGTGCAGGAAGAACAGAAATAATAAGGCTAGAGGTGTAGAAGGAGGAGCTCAACATTCTTACAACCAGGTGATGAAGATGGCGTCACATGGCCCTAAGTGGTAGGTACTACCACTTCACCATGTCACATATGAGGGCCATGTGACTTGCCCAAGGTCTTACAGCCAGGGAGTGTGGTACAGGCAGGATAGGCAGCCCTGAGCAATCCCATGGCTCAGTCTTCTCACAAACAGCTCCTTCCTTGTCCTGCTCTTCACCACCATTCCTCCCACCTCCTACATAAATGCCCACCTTCTTCTCTGGGTTAGTCAGTTTGGACTTGACATCCTTGGCTTTCTGAATTGCTTTCAGAACTTCCACGGTATCCAGCTCCTTCTCTGTGGTTGCTGTATTATCCAGGCAGACCTACACAGGGTCCAGAAAGTGGCTTTCAGTATGGGGACTGGCAAGCATGGAGGGAGTAGGATGGCAGAGCCCTGCTGAGGAATGGGCATGAGAACCTCCTATAGGCCAGGCCTCAGAAGGCACTGGAGGTTGAGTGAGGCTCAGCTTATAGGGAAGGCAGGCTCCTTACAACAACATGAGTAACCTGAGAATGCCTTGGAGGGGCCCACAGAGGTATCACACAGCCTCCTTCATCTCTGGGAGCCCCTCTCCAAGAAGAGGGGCAGCCTTTTGGGTGGCTGTGACTAGAGGAAGGGGAGACGTAGACTAAGCTCCACTTATAAGCAGAACTCAGATGGTCAGAGAGCAAGAGGAGCGCCTTCTGGGCAAGGGAACTGGCAGGGCAAAGGTACAGAGAGCCAGAGGGGAGGAAAGGGATACCAATCTGGGAATGCAGGAGGAGCTCAGACTGGCAGGCACTCAGTAGGCGGGCAGTGTGCTCAACTGAGGGAAGGTCCCAAGGGCCTAGACAGGGCTGACATCGTGTGGCTAGGGAACCTTCCCAGGTCTGAAGACATGGCATCCTGTGGAGACTGAGTTGGGAACAGTGTGGAGACAGCAGCGCTTGGGGCAGAGGTGGGATGCAAACAGACCACCAGGGCTGGTGAAAGAATGGGGAAAGGGCCTGCTGGAGGCTGAGGGAGAGGAGTGAACACGAGGAAGGACCTGGTTGACATGGTGGCAGGTGGACAGCCACAGCAAGCAGGCAGCAGATACTGGGCTGGGCCACATTGCCAAAGGCAAGCAAAATCTGTGGGCATGTAGTCAGGCACCATGGCTAGTTGTACAAGAAACAGGATTATTTTAAGTATTTTATTTCTGCCCCTTGCCTAGAATAAACAATGTTATTTTTTCAAAGTTGAAGACAGTTCTTCCACACCCTAGATTTGTGCCTGTGAATTCCCAGGAAGCCCTCCTGACCTGTAACTCCAGCAGATGGACATAAAGCCCCGCTGATAGCCCCCAATGGGAGAGGGGTAGGAGGTACAGGGAACCTTTCCCTAGGGGGCAATGGACTGCCTAGATCTGAAAGGCATTCAGACATCCTGCTGAAGCAGGTGAAGGCAAAGAGTGGACACCCCACCTCATCCTGCCCATGCAGCCCTAAACTCCATCCTGCCATCTCCCTGGGCTCTGCTGGTGGTACCAGGACTTACCTCAGAGGCCCGCTCCCCGAACTGAGCAAGAACTTTGGTCCGGTAGTCAGGAATGATGCTCACAGGGTTGTTCAGCAGGGTCACGTGCTCCAGACATGGGAGGCTGCCAATGCTCCTGATCTCCTCCATCTGAAAGGCATGAGCGCCATTCTTTGGGCCCCTTCGCCTAATACTTCAGCCACACGACAACACTCTGGATGGCCTCTTTTAAATGAAAGGAATCTTCACGATCTTCCTTAAAGTGGTAATCACCAAGGCCCAGCAACCCCAGAGCCTGGAAGCACCTTAGGACTGTAGCTCACCTGCTCAATTCTGTTGTTGCTGAGGTCCAGGTTGAGCAGAGAGTAGAGCTTGTGCAGGCCAATCAGGCTCTCTAGGAGGTTGCCTGCTAGGTTTAAGGTCTTGATGTTCCCCAGTTTGGTGTGAATGCCTTCCAAGGAGGAGAGCTTGTTGTAGGACAGGTCAAGGTGCACAAGGTTGTACAGGTGCTGCAGAAGTATTGAGAACAGGACAGCAGCCTAGGTCAAGCTTCCCAAGAGGGGCCTGCTGACCTTCCAACCCAAACCTTGCAGAGCTGCCTTGCAGCTCTGTCATTCTCTGATGGTTACTGGGAAGGGAAGCCCTCTTTCCTACACACATCATAACCCACAGGTTATGTAGATAGGGTGGGGTAAACGCTGAACACAAGCCTGTCCATCTTCAGGATGCCGGTATGCCATCTTCATTACACTTGGTTTGTATTTACTCAGCTCTTATAATTTTTTGACTAGAGCAATCATCACTCAGGGCATCACTGGAAGCCTAAAGGAAAGGCAGCAGTCCAGCCATACCAACCCTAAGACATGGTCAAAGTCCCAAGGCTGTGATTGCCTCTTGACTTCTCTCAGGAGAATAGAACCTGGAGAACCTGTAGGGGCAGCGCTAGTCTCCACGACATTACCTGCAGGTTGTCCACAACCAGCACGCCATTATGACTCAGGTCCAAGAACTCAATCTTTGGGATCAGTTTCTTGTAAAAGAAAAGAATACAGACATTATGAGGCTGGACTCTACCCAGTCCCTGCACCTGGTGCTGGGTGTCATAGGACTCTTTCTCTTGACCACAGACTTTCCAGCTGGCTGTCCCTGCAGGGTCACTGATGTGACACCTCCCATTGCCTACCCAGCAGCACATCTGAAAGGACACACAGGGACACACTAGTCACTGTCTGTACAGAGCAACTGGCTTATGTCCCAGACAATAAGGGCGTCTACCCTTTTTTAACTCTACCCACCCTCACTAAGAAGCACGTAGATAGAATCATACTCCTGTTGCCCTAAGGTAACTGGAATGTCACTCTTACATGGGCACATCTATAATCTAGGGAGTGAATTTTCTGCTCTACTCCTTACATCACCTACCATAGTTCTGGTATTTCAAATGTATGTGTAATTGATATGCATCATTTGATCCTAAGTAGTAACTATTAATTTTAAATATTTTCATTTTGAAATTTAATTTACAAACTGCAGGCAATGCATAGAGCACAGGACACAGGTTTTCTGCAGTTGTTCCAAAGAAAGTCAAATTAAATACCCAGCCCTCAGGATTTGGTCAGATCAGAGCAGTGCCTGGCAGTGGCTACTGCCAGCATACCACAGACTCGTCGATCTTGGAGATGCTGTTGTGGCTCAGGTCGAGAGTGGTCAAAGCTTGCCATGTGGGGATGACAGCAGTCACAGTGCCTTCAAGGGCTGTGCCTTCAGGCTCCCACTCATCAAATTCCGAGGCTTCAGGAACAAGGACTTCCTGCGTAAGAACATCTGTTGAGCACCACGCTCAGCCCTCACGCAATACTAACTGGAACACTATTGTTGCAAAATTTAAGGAAGGACTGGAGCATATTTAGCATGCGGAAATGAGCTTGCATTAAAACGGGATTTGGTTCATGTGTCTTTCAATGATTGTGAAATAACTGAAAGGCTTAGCAATATAACAGCCACTTGGAATAAGTTCTGGAGTAAGTTTTTTCAGAAGCAAATGCTCCTCAAGCCCCCAAGGACCTCTGCTACATGGCGATGGCTGTTCTACCTTAATTCTCAGAGTCTTCACCCAAATTCATGCTGTTTCCAGGCAACTGTGTTTTCAGAGTGGTCCCCACCACGGACAGGAGGCCCTTTAACCACTACTTTGCAAGTATAAGATCATTGCTGAGACATGAGCACCAGTCACCGAAGGGGAGGGAAGCAGTCCTCCTTGGGTTAATTTTTGAGCATTATAAAATCTCTCCTTTTGCACTGACCAATTTGGGCTCTTTCAGTCAGGCAGCAGAGTGCCTTGGGGAGGAACAAGGCAGCCTAACCCCTTGCTCTCTCCACAGCCTCCTCCCTTCAGTCAGTAGGCTCAAGAGGAACTTTTTTTTAACGTTTTTATTAGTATGTAATAGTTGTACGGGCTTTCTGTGTGACATTTACATATGTGCATACAATGTGTCCGGGTTTGGTTCAAGGAGAAAGAATCCTCAAACTCGTATCTTGATCAGACCCTCTTGAGTCACAAAATTAGTCACTATATGCTTTTTCTATACTCAGGTGGGATTTTAACTTCACTAAGATGAAATCCAAGACAGGTAAAGAAGCCCCATTGCAAATGGAATGTTTCTGTCGTTCATGTACAAACAGTGCCCAGCACTCCTATGTCTCCTTCTACTTCAAGTTTATGGACAACAAGATACAAACGAGTGCTAAGCCAGGGACTGTTAGGCTTAGAGGAACAGATATTATCAATCTAACTGATGAAGGTCCTACCATCTCCACGGTCAAAATTTTTTCATTAAAAACAATGACCTTGCTGGGCATGTGGTGCTTACCTGTAATCCCAGCGTTGGGAGGCAGAGGCAGGAAGATCATGAATTCACAGTTAACCTGGGCTACATAGTGAGACTCTCAAAGAAACTACTTGTCTCAAACAAACAAAATGAAACAAAAGCAAACCTAGTGAACCTTTTTTCTTTTTAGAGAAAAAAAAAAAAAAAACACCCCCTTAAAATGCTTTGTTAACAACACTGATTTTTGGAGCAGATGCATGCTAAAGTGCTCTAGGACCCATCAAGAACTTGGAGGTCCTGCATGAATATGTGGCAACCCAAGGGAGGATGATCCAGCCTCTGGGCACAGATGGACATGGCAGTGCTGACACTGTTCTCAGTGGTGGGGATCATGGCTGGGACCCTGCCCCACAGATAGAAAACAGTAAAGGCAAAGCTTACCTTCATTGAGGTTGCTGAGAAGCGGACGCTCATTGTGGCTAAGGTGGGCTTTGAGGTGACCAGCCCTTGGATGTGCTTAGCATCACAATGACTTATCTGGAACAAAGCACAGATGCTTCTCAGAAATGGTATCTTAGTCCCATTAGGAAGCTGAGTGCTGGTGGCTCATACCTGTAATTCTAGCTACTTGGGAGGCTGAGATCAGAAGGATTGCAATTCAAGGCCCACCCAGGCAAACAGTAATCCAAACCCCATCTCCAAAATAACCACAACAAAATGGACTGGAGGTATGACTCAAGTGGTAGCATGCTTGTTTTGTAAGCGTGAAGCTCTGAGTTCAAATTCCAGTCCCATAAAAAAAGGCCCAGGAAGTGGATATTCATCCCACCTGCATAAAAAGAAGCCCAATAATGGGCAGTCCAAATGCTGGAGATGAGAACAGAGGTGATTCAAAGCCTAAGACTCTTTTTTTCCCCAATGCTATACAGAGCTGATTAAACATTCTCTGAAATACCTAGTAAGGAAGACATTGGGATTTTCAGACTCTCAATGAGCCACAAATTCCATTTTCTCAGTAAGGACTGCTTGGGGCTTGGCAGAGGGACAGAAAGGGTGGGTCATGGAAATCAGTGTGGAGAGCAAGGGGAGAAGTGCCTCCATAGTGCAGCAAGTGTGATAGCCTTCCTGCTGGCCCAGCCTTGTTCCACTGCCCTCAACTGTCCCTGTGGCAAGGAGAAGAGGGGTACAGGTCAATCACACTACCTCAAGCACCACACGACCACAGACCAGACAAAGCCCCAGCTGCTGAACAGAGCTGGGTCAGGCTTTCTTCTCACTTCTAAGGTCTTAGTCAGCCTGCAGTGGTCAAGGCACACACCCTGAATTTCTATCAAGGGGAGTGGCCCTCAAGACCCAAGACAAGCCTAGACTGCTGTAGGCAGAACGGGCCAAAGGATAGCAGGGTTCTGAAGTCAGACTCAGCCAGAAATTCAAATCTCAGCTTGCCACTCCTTAACTGTGTGATCCTGTCCAAACTTCCTTACCCTCCTAAGCCTCAGTTTTCTCAACTGTAAACTGAGAATAAAAGCACCCACTTCACAGAGCTGTTGGGAAGATTTGATTAAGGAGTACACATCAACAAGGGGTCTCAGGCTGAACACAAAAGCCAACTTCGGCTTAGGAAACATAGCCTTTAAAAACAGTTTTACTCCCCTCCCTTCCCTTCCCCTTTCCTTTCTTTCTCTTCCTCTCCCTCCCTCTCCCTGAAACCACAATCCTCCTGATCTTAGCTTTCCAAGCAGCTTTGGGTGACAGGCATGAGCTACCCCACCTGGCTTCCTCTTTCTTTTTAAAAATGGTAACAAAAATTAGCTTTGACAACCAAAGAGTTCAAACAATGTAAAGCAATTCTTGTTAGGCTTGGGCATCTTTATGAGGGCAAGGGACCCTCAAAGTCCTTTGTCTGAGCTGGGCACCAGTGACTTATGCCTATAATCCTAGCTACTTGAGAGTCTGAGATAGGAGGATCGTGATTTAAGGCCAGCCTCGGCAAATAGTTCAAGAGGCCTTATCTCCAAAATAACCAGAGCAAAATGAACTGGAGGTGTGCCTTAAACAATAGAGCCTGCTTTGTGAGCATAAAGCCCTGAGTTCAAACCCCAGCCCCCCACCTCCATCACACAAAAAGCCCTTTGCCTTAGAAACTAAAGACTTGGAATTCAGTCTGTCTGTTCCTTAGGATAATTTCCCAGGATTTCTGCTTGTATAGCCCAAGTCCTCTGACTCCATGAGAGGCCCAGAAGGAGCCAGCCTCTAGAACCAGTGCTTCACCTGTCTAAATGCCTTCTGTTGTTCATGTCAGGGACAGAGACATGCAGACCAGCCAAGGACAGGAGAAGCTCCCTCTCTGCCTTTAGAGGGGCCTGATTCACTTGAATAAAATCAGCCATTTATTGTTGAACATGAAAGCAACAGTTCCTTAAGATTCGATCTGGACAGGTGATATCAAAACCACTCCTTAGCCACAGGCAGTTGGAGAGAGATGATGCTTGTGCAGGGCTCAGCCCGCCTGCTCTCCAGTGGCCCTGGCCCTTACCTCCACCTGATGAAGAGACTTGAATATTGACAGATCAAACGGCAGGAGCTGCTCCTGAATGTTGCTGGTCCCAAAAGGTCCTTCTGTGCCAGAAACCTGAGACCAAAGATGGGGCTTAAATTAGTGCTGCTGCTGCCACCACTTGCCATCTGCACTCTTAGCCAGTGGAGCAGCAACTCCCAAACCTGAAGCTCTGACTACTTCTACTGGCAACAAAGGGGCTATGTAGGTTTAAAAGGAGTCGGGACGCCCCCTGGTGTTCATAGCCAAAAGCACAGTGCCAAAAACACTTTCTTCCATGGAGATCCCCACCCTTGGCGTCCTTCATACACACACTCCAGCCAGTGAGCTGTCAAGCCCCATGGCCAGCTGAGTGCCTTGTTACTGCTGAGCCACTGTATCTTTTTACCTTAAGGTATTTAAGGCGACAGGTGAAGTCCAGGATGTGCCCAAGGTCAGTCTTGGCATCCCCACTGGCGCACGTAGGCTTTCCCTGTGACAGCTGCTCGGTGACTGCATAGAGTTGCAGGGGTCTGATAGCAAAGACCTCACCAGCCCCCAGGAGCTGTTCTCCTGTAACAGCCAAGCCCTGCAAGATGAGTGCCCACCCCCAGCCCACTGTACGGCCAGGGCGTTTGTCTGCCACTAACAGTCAACAAGCACTAAGCAAGCACCTATTACACACACCTGTGTTGGGATATGCACAGTCCTAAGCACACAGGAGTAGCTGCCTTCCTGAGCTCACATTGGGCACAGAGCAACCCTAGACACATGGTGACAATGGAGGGAAAGGGCATGGGGGACTGTAACTGGGGAGCCATCCTGAAGAGTGAGGCTGAGTCAGACCTAAGGCTCTGACCAGGATAGGGCTGATGAGAAGCAGTGTTCTGGGCAATGCCACAACCTTCAAAATGCAGGTGCCATGGCTAGTTGCAAGCCTGAGATGCCAGGTCAGTACAGAGCCTGAACGGCATCTCGGGTAAGCAGGTGGAATCTTAGAGAGCAGACTGATTGGCATTTGGTCCTTGCGCTGCTCCTCTTGGGCATGCACCCACCCTTAAGCAGGTTAGTGGGTGTCTATCCTTACTTCTACCTATGGTCTCTAGCAGGGAAGGAATGGTAAACAGTGCTGTTGGCAGGCGTGCTCCTTAGCTACTGTCACCATGCTCTCTGAGGGGGCTGTGACCCAAGGTTAACTTCTATTTGCCATTTGAACCCTTTCAGGCAAGGACAGACCAAGTGTAAGATATAGCATGCCAGCCACGTTTCAGCACCCCACCATGGCGCTTTGGAATAGATCCTAAGCCCACAGTGAGCTGTGACACAGAGACTCAATGAAGAATCTCAAGGTGGGAAAACTGAAAGCTGCTGAAGTCAGTTTAAGAAAGGGACTAGGGAAAAGGGAACATAATGGAGGGGGAACCAAACCGGGGTACACTGTATGTATATATGGAAATATCACAATGAAACCCCTGTATAACTATCGTATACTAACGAAAGCATAAAAAAAAAGTCTCAGGGTGAAAGACCACAGGATGGATAGGTGGCAGGCTTAACTATGGCCCAGAGCCAGGGATGTGAGTACCTAAGGAAGTGGGCTCTGGCTAGGCCTCCAGCCATCTAATGGGACTAGGAAAGTTGTGGCCAGTATTTCAAGGACCAGTGGCCATGTACCTTTTTCAAAGAGTTCTTCAGCCAGTGCTGCAGTGATACCATTTATCTCCTGTGGAGAAAATAAATCCTGTGGTTAGGAAGTCTATTTGCCCTGTCACTGGAATCAGTACATTTGCTATCTATTTGCTCTGCTGCTATGCCAACTCTCTAGGCAGTAAACACAATAAAGGAGGAGGCAAACTATAATGAAGCAAGGAGCTTATCAAAGGAAACTAGGCATTTCCAGATATGTGAACACCTGAAAGGATTCCTCAAAAGCACAAGATCAGACTAATGTTGTAACTCCAGGTCCATATGGGCACTGCTGAATGCACCATGGCCAGAGAGGCCAGTACTTGGCTACGCTAAGGGCTTGCCTGGGAAGCCAACAGCACCCAAAACCGGCTCTGGAGTTCCTAGGAGAGGGTGTGGTAGAGAAGTCCTATTTCTTTTGGAAAAGAGGCCCCTCTATCACTCAGGTGGAAGGAAGAATCTCCCAGAGTCAACCTTCCCTAGGAAGACCATACCCGCCTTCTCTCATTTCATGTGTCTCAGAAAAAAGTGGACACTTGTTCTCTTCCTGTGCTCATCCCTTCCAGACTCACAGCAGTACCACTCAGCCCTCTGAGGGTCATTACAAGGAATGGGAAAGGTTTTTCTTTCAGAACGATGCGATAAGCACTGGCAGAGTGGCTCAAGTGGTAGAGTGCCTGGCTAACAAGCATGAAGCCCTGAGTTCATATTACAGTACTGCCAAAAAAAAAAACAAAAAAAAAAAAAAGAAAAAAGAAAATGCGATAAAGGACAAGGACGAGCCTTCAGTCACAGTAACAACTAACATGCTGGGCTCTAATTAACATCAGGTACTGGCTCACTGAACCCTCCCACCACCCTGCAAGAGGAAGCTGCAACCTTGAACCCTGGTACAAAGATAAGCAAACACAGGTAGAGATTGGATAATGTGACCCTTCAATTTTATATGGCTAGAAACTAGAAAAGTCCTATTTAAGCACTTGGCCTTGGGTCTCTCTACATAACCAATCACCTCAGCACTTCGATGGCAACTGGCAGCTCCCACCCCCACCTCTCACAGGTAGGAATTTTAACTAGCTGACAGATGGCAGGCAACAGGCCTTTCTGTAAACAGGTCCAGATAGAGGCTGCACAATCACTTTCACAGCTCACAGGACATGTAATTCACATGTTGATGGGACTCTGAAGGCACTGACTACAGGAGACAGAGTGTCCTGTTCCTGTTTTTCTCTTTGGTTGTTTGTCTCTTTCTTGTTATCTTTTATATACCACACTACTTCCCCTCTCCCAGTACTGGGATTGAGCCCAGGGCCTCATGCATGCTACATTAAGACAGCACTTTAGCACTGAGCTACATCACTCTTTTCTAAATTTTATTTTAAGACAGGGTCTTAACTAAGTTGCCCAGGCTGGCTTCGAAATTGCAGCTCTCCTGCCTCAGCCTTCCAAGTAGTTGGATTACAGTTGTGTACCTCCATGCTCACTCACCGCAGCTTCTTTAACAGCTGTTTATATGCTGTAAACATTTCCTCCCAGACTGTGTATGCCTTTATCCTTTGTTCAAGGTGGTTTTCATGACATAGCAAGATTTTTCATTTGTGACTTTGAGGGTTTCTTCCCCACCTTACGATTATAAAAATATCCTAATTTTCTTTTGGTCCTTTATGGCATTTTAAAAAGATGTGTTTATTGCCAGTGTGGAAAGGAGATGAGGTGGATCAAGATTTGAGGTCACCTTGGGCAAAAAGTTAGTGAGACCCCCATCTCAACAAGAGGCTAGCCTGGGCAAAAAGTTAGTGAGACCTCATCTCAGCAAACAAGAAGGATGTGGTAGGTGTATCTGTAATCCCATCTACATGAGATGTATAGGTGGGAGGATCAAGGTCTGAGATACCTGAAAAAATAACCAAAGCAAAAAGGGACCAAGTGACAAGGCTCAAGTGGTAGAGTGCCTGCGCCTAGCAAGCTTGCAGTCCAACTTCAAATTCCAGTACTGCCCTGGGTGGGGTGTTATTTAATCTGCTTGAAATTCAGTTTATATGTATTATGTATAATGTGAAAGTCATTCTTCTCTCACCCCTTCCCCTCAGTGTACAAAAGCCAAAGGGAACAAAATGAGCCAACACAGTTCCTTTTTAAAGGATTTAGTGGGACAGGGCCAAATGTAAAAGGGCAAGAGGAACTTAGCAACCTAAAAGGAGGGGAGGGGCTATGGGTTCACTCTGAACTTCAACTTCACTCTCTTGCAGCCTCTTTAATTCAATTACATTTTCCTAGGCAGCTGTGAAGACTGAAGATTAGGAAGAGCTTGGAATGATGCAAAGACTCATGCCTCTGACGCTTTTGAGAACCACGCCTTGTCTACAAATCCTCCCTACAGTCAGATCACCTGGCTTTGAGCAGTCCCAGGGCTGCCAATTTACACCCACCCCAATCTCCCAAAGGCAGCTTTGAAGCCTCTCAGCACAATCAGGCTTCCATAAACTTCTCACCAGGAAAGGGTTCTGTTGCCCGTTGTTTTGAACAATTCTCACCTTTCTCTAGGCAGCTGGCATCTCAGAAAGAGCACAGAAAACAAGAATGCCCCTAGGCACTAGCCCTCCTAAGGAATTTCCAGAAGACACAAAAAGCTGAGACAGTGACGGCAAAGGGCTTGTGCTAAGCAAAGGGCAAGCTTAAACCAAACTATATAACCTCTCCCTGCTCTTGGGGCACAGGAAGGGCACACTGTTGTGCTTTGTACTTGATTTCCCCAGCCAACATTCACCTTGGGAGGGAGCCTGAACTGGAACACAGGAATGCCTTAGCTCCACACCTAGAGCACTGGCTTCCTCTGGCCAAAATTTGGACCTGTGGGCAAAGGCACAGAGTCAGTTCTGTCTGGATCAGGAGATAGGGGCCCCTGAGCCCTAGCTCTTGCTGATACTTCACAGATGTCTTCCCTTAGGATATTGGCTGTAGACCTTCCTTCATTGCACAGTCTCATGCAGGCTTCAAAAGGGCCCCTGATCATCACCCTCCAGCTTACAAGAGACTGGGGCACAGAAAGTTTAAATGACTGGCTTAGAATAAGCTGTTAGGAAGGAGCTGGGCTAGGAGATAAACTTGGCTCTATCTCTAAGTCCACTCTTAGGGATCCTGTTCCAAATTGGTGTGCTAGAATTCTCCACCGGATTCCATTCCAGAGCTTGAAAACTGCTGCTCTAGAGGTTCTGAGATGCAGTCTGTGCCTGTGGGACCAGAAGATAGGGTGGAGTTATCCAGGGAGAGAGCAGACATAGGCTGCTCTGACCCCTGAATTCCCTATCTCAGAGTTGGCTGGGGAGAGAAGTGCTGCTTTCTTTCCTTGTCATTAAAATCCACACTGCAGAAGAACTGAGTTAGACCCTACCTCACATCATATACAAAAATTAACTCAAAATGGATCAAAGCCCTACATGTAAAATCTAAACCTAAAACTCCTACAAGAAAATATAGTCACGTTTGTGACCTTGGATTATACAATGGTTTCTCAGATATGACACCAAAACCCCAAGTGACCAAAGGAAAAAATAGATAAACTGAACATCATTAAAATCTAAAACTTGGCCAGGTGGGGTGGTACACACCTGAAACCCCAGTATTTGGGAGGCTGAGATAGGAGGATCCTGAGGATCATGTTTATGAGCAACATAACAAGATCCTGTCTTTAAAAAGTGAAGCAGCCAGGGGTGTAGCTCAGTGGTAGAGTGCACGTTTAGCATGTATAAGGCCCTGGGTTTGATCTCCAGGAGAAAAAAAAAAAAAAGAAAGAAAAAGAAAGGAAGGAAGAAAAAGACAATCTATAGAATGGAAGGAATTATTTGCCTATCACATTTCAGGTAACGGTCTAGCATCCAGAATACATATAAAGAACTGTTATAACTGAGCAAGTGTTTACAGGATAAAGGATCTGAATACATTTTTCCAAAGAAGATACACAGATGGCCAATAAGCACATGCAAAGAGGCTAAACATCATTAGTAACTGTGATAATGCAGACTAAAACCACAGGAGATATTACTTCACACCTACTAGGACATCTAGGATTTAAAAAAAAATGGTAAGAGTGTTAGCAAGGATATAGGGAATTTAGAACTTACACATTGCTGGTAAGTACATAAAAGTACAGGAACTTTGGAAATTAATTTGGCAGTTCCTCAAAAAGTCCAAACAGTTACTATGTGACTCAGTTTCCACTTCTGGATATAACGCAACAGGTAAGAAAATATAAGTTCACACAAAAACTTATACAGTAGTCTCCTCCTTATCCACAGTTTCATTTTCTGTGGTTTCAGTCACCCATGGTCAACTGCAGATTGAGATTATTAAACAGAAAATTCCAGAAACAATTTACAAATTTTACGTTACACACCGTTTTTAGTATCATGATGAAATCTCATGCTGTGCTCTGCCTCCTTTGTCCAGCATAGCCACACCATATACATGTCACATATAGTCAGCCAT